TAGTGGCCCCCTTTTCCAAATATTCCACCATAATAATTCCTTCTGCATCCCAGAAAACAGACGCCATAACCTTTCCCGCTGAACTTGACACTTTGAATTTCTTCGGCGTTGGTGAGGAAGCTCGTTTCCAAGTCATTGATTGTTGTTTGGTTTCGGGATCAAAGTGGTGGATCCAGGTCTCGTCCATGGTCACAAAACGCGACAAAAAAAAATCTTTATCGGCCTGGAACTTTTGAAGATTCACCCTCGAAATGTCGACTCGTTTTCTTTTTTTGCTCGTCGGTTAACATTCTCGGTACCCAACGCGCAGAGACCTTTTTCATATGCATTTTGTTGACAATGATTTTTTAAACGCTGCCATAGGAGATCCCTGTAACCTCAGCTACATGCCTTACGGTCACCCTTCGATCGGCCAACACGATATCTTCCACTTTTTTGACGTTTTCTCCAGTAAGGGACGTGGAAGGGCGTCCCTCGCGATGTTCATCTTCAGTGGAGGCTCTGCCCAGCTTAAATTCCTTTGCCCAGCGTGCGACTGTGGAATATGGAGGAGCAGACTCCCCCAATGTTTCCTCTAAGTCACTGTGTATGTCTTTGGTAGACATTTTTTTCAGGCAGAGGTACTTGATGACAGCTCTTATTTCATTTTTCTCCATTTTGATGTTTTCTCTTCGACAGTTCGTATTCAAATGAATGTATCTCCCGGTAATGGTGTCCTATTTATAAATTTTTTTGAAGCTGAAGTAGTGGATATATAAGCAAGCAGAAAAAAAATAATTTGGGTTTTTGTGCGTTCTAGAAATACTGGATTATCATTACTTATTGATCACCCCTCGTAGTGTGTAATAGAATGTTACAGTGAATGTAAAAAATTACGCTTTACCTACATCCTTATAAATGTTACGAGCCAGTTCACACACTTTATAGAAAAAGTAACATTTTTAATTACTTTTTACTTATTACGTGAGGTAAATAAAGAGTGAATGTAAAGCAAGTAACAAGTTGTAAGTGCAAATTACTGACCGACAGTAATAAGATTTGAGATAATTTATACTTTGTTGAATTATTATGTATGATTTTAAAATAGCGAGCATCGTTTTTGCGTAATCTATTAGAGTATCAAGAGTAGAATATGGTCTACGTTATTTTAATAAGTATATTGTAGTATATTTTAACGTTGCCTCAGCGGAAAAAGTTCGAAGTTCATTACTTGAGTTTAACAGATATGTAGTGTATGACGTCGTGTAATAATAGGTAAATAAAAAAATTGTGGTGCGGACTAGGGCGGAATAAAACTACAATCACCTGTTATAAATCACCACCTGTGAGTAATTTACAAAACCACCATCTAAACACAAAATGTCGTAGTCTTTGATAAAAAGTTTGGTTTTTTCTTTTCTTAAGTTTTTGATGGCATTTATTTTCGTCTATGACCAAATCCCAGTAATAATTTATCACCGGTTAAACGTAGTGTCTTAAACTAATCATTTCTCATATGATTATGATTTAAAGCATTTATTTCCATCACTAGTGCAGACAGTAACAGATCATGATGAATTGTAACTATTTATAATCTTCATTTATCCTGGGATGATATTTTAATTCATAGTTGAATGGGACCAAACGTATATCCTCGCAAAATAAATAATACTCTCTGCAATTAGTACACAATTAATGATGGAGTTCTGATCACAATCAAATAAGAAACATTTTCTTTTTTTGAAATCCGTTAAAAGTAGTGTTTCTTCATGTTACCTTTATTCTATCTATTTTTCTTTCATTTATAATAAATTGAATATAAAATGTAATGACTATAGTAAGCAACTTATTATCAATGTCAAAACATTACCTTCTGCAATATTATTAAGTTCACATTGTTAAATAATAGCGCCTGTACAAGTTCTTGTTGCAAGATTGCCTCGACAATGTTAACGGTTATTGACACAACGCTTCGTCGGAAGATAAATATCCAAGCCCCCAGGCTTCAGCGGTGTACCGGCTCTATAATAACATTAGCATACAATGACAATGTATCCGACTGCTATTACTGGCTAACGGATCGCTATTCCTTCTGATAAAATTTCTTATCACGTTTCGTTTTTTTTATTGAGGTCTCTTCCGATTTTTGGATGTGCTTATCGTCTGATCGTTAGGCACGTAAATAAATTATTCGTCACGTAGAAAGGTGTCTGTATATTAAGACGATTTCTAATATAACAAACAACAAAGGCAATAAGTATAATTTGCTAACAAAAATACCGTTTTTAAAAACAATTGAAGTTTTTACCGTTTAACATTAAATTAAATTAATTGTTTCCAGTTCATACAATGATTATATTAAAAAGAAAGGGCAAATCTCACTACTACTCTTTTATCACCAGGTAGATACAGTCAGTACCGTCTTTACCATAAGGGCACACGGGGCCCGTGACCAGGGCCCCCATCGTCACGGGGGCTCCAAAAAGCGAATACTTAGAGGAAAATAATCGCTTATACTATAAATAGAATTCTTTTTTAAATCGATATAATCCGACAAAAAAGAAATAGGGCTTAATTAGCCACTCTATTGGCTACGGGCTTGTTATTGCTCAATTTTTCCACAAAGTTATTACATTGCGGAATCTGATAGAAAATGTGGCATTGCCAATCTTTCCACATAGGAAATGGTTCTCCGTTTCGCCACCATCTAAACTTTTTTGTTGGATTTTAAAATCTCCTTACTAATAGCCTGTGTTTTTTTTTCATTTTATATACCTAATTACAACCTTTTTTAATTTTTTTAAGTTGGTGCATGCAGGTTTCGTTCTAGTAGCACCTAAGATGTGGGGATGAATTACCTAGTATTAAAGTACGTAAAACATAAAATAAATTTGAATATTCAGAATATAATAAATATGTAAATTAGTGATAAATATATAAATACAAATAGAAAAATAATTTTAAAGTAAAATTAAGAGAAATTTAAATTGATTAACCACACCTTGTATTGTCAAGGACAATACTCCAGTATTGCACTGGGATGTCGTTTACAATTTTTTGGTGAGTCCAAAACCATTGTATCAATTTAACTACAATTGGTTTGACGCGTACTACGCTCTCCTTTACAATAATTCGTAACTATTAGGTAGATATAAATTCTGATATCCTCAAGTAAAAAATGAAAGTGATAGACTTTGACAGACTGAGATATAACAGAAAATTTTGCACAACAGAAATCTTGAAAGAAATCATTGTCGAAATCGTAACCGATTAAAACCATCCATTTAAGCCTGCTTATCTAATTAATTTCTGTGTTTATAGCTGTTATACCTGTATATGTAGCTATATGTAGTGCCCGAATGCAACGGCTTGGCCTAAGACGGCTTTGGGTGCAGTGGAATTGTTTAATACTACAACATTATATTGATGTGTGTATGTCAAAATAAAGAGAAAACAAGATAAAGAAAAAAGATGGAATAAAAATGAAAGTGAAGTGGAACATAAAAAAATTGGAAAAAATCAATCAAAGAGCACACTAGCGCATATTACATTTGTTTGATTTGATATTTAACTTTACAATTTAGCTTTTGCTAAATTGTAAAGTTAAATATTAAGTTCAATTAAATTCAGTCTCGAAACTGATGTTGTCATTACTTTTTTCCAAATCACGATAAGTCCCCAAACTACAAAAATCGCCGCGATGCACCGATTGAACCTTAACTGTATATCAAACTCCAGCAAATCCGTATCAACCAATCAGAGCAAATTATGACGTCCAAGATGTCTGCAGGTCGAAGACATGCGGGAGTGAAGCGTTTTGCTCTCGAAAATTTTACTGTTTTTATTGAAAAAAAATATTTGTACCTATAGTTGCGTGGTGGATAAAGATAAAGCACAAAAAGAAACTATGGCATCAATATTATGCAAATATTTAGCAAAAATTATTTATTATTATTATTATTAATGAATAAAAATTCATACTTTCATAAATATTATGAAGTAGCACCCCTTAGGTTCTTTAACAATGGGATTTGTCAAAAGTAGGTTACTCCAGTGGTATTTTTCATACTCCGATGTACTTCGTTAGTACATACGAGTATTGTAAATACGGACACGGCTTCGTTGAGTGCAGTTCAGTTCGAGCTACAGTGCGGTAACATCGAAGCGATCATTATTGAGTGTGAACGTCCTAAAGTGTAGTTATAATAAAGTCTCTTTAGTCGTCAGAATTCTTATTATTCCGAATCAACGAACCTAACACGTAACAATAGCTTATAATACTGATATCTGACACTCACTAAACTATAAAAATCGCCATTTACAAAAACCCTAAAAATAATTTTTAATAGTAGCCAAAAACATTTTTTTTGTCATTTCCTATTTTCCCTTAATAGTGGACATACCAAGGTTTGATATTTATCTACACATTTATTCCAAAGCATTCTTGTCTTCTATGTAATCCACTATCGAGTAACAAACTTGACATTTTATGTTATATTGTGGTTTTAAATTTGTTTATAGTCAAGTTGTCTATTATTTGGGATTTTAATATAAAATCGATCACATTGACCTGTCTTGTTTATCTTTAGTAGCCTAAGGCAGGTACAACAAGTTTATTTCTATTTCTGGTATTTAAAGAGTGTACATAACTTTTTTCAAAAAGCTTTCTTTGTTTTTGTGAACATATATATTAAGTATTACAATTTCATATTTATACGTGTGGCACTAAGAAACTTTTGGGAAATTAAAAAACCAGCTTTTATGGATAAAATATTTTTCTTAAATCTTTTCAAAGTACTCTCGACCAGCCTCTACACTAGTTTCATGCGACTAACCCAGTTTTCTAAATACTTGTTCAAGTCCGCCGCAGACGCCCTCCCGAAGGCTATTAGCGTATCTTCCGGCGACGAAAACTGAAAACTGTATCCCTCTTAGTAGATTTTTTTTAGGGAATAACAAGAAGTCACACGGTGCCGGTGATTCGTTACCTGTCACAAAGTCGTCACGTAAAAAAATATTAATCATGTCATGGCACACCGGCCAGCTTCTGAGATCCAGTGAGGTTGTGCAGCACCCATCGCGAAACTATCCTTCTCGAAGGTGCTAAAGTAGAATCTTGTAAACGCTGCCTGATCCAATCTGCAAAATATATGCTAAATCTTTTCGTATGTAATTAGTCTGTTCTCCGTTTTTTTTTAAAGGCTCACTAGCAACCGAAATTACTAGTATTCCCGTTAACTCCTCCTGCTAAGCTAAATTGCTTGTATTAGGAGTGGGTTCACGTCGTTAGTATACTGGTCAGGATTCGAACCCACGACCTCTTGATCGCAAGTCCAATGCCTTAACCACTAGGCTACCGCCGCTTGTAATTAAGGTTTTCACTGCCAGCATGTTTTCCTCAGTAACAGCCATCGAAGGACTAGCATTTCTTCCTTCATTCCCCAAAGCGACCGCACTTGAATTCGTTATGCCAACGGTTGGTTTAGAAGGGCGCGCATCCATAAATGTCATTTGAAGTCGATCAAATGACTCGTCTAATTCAATTTAGCTCTCAAAAAATTGTAGAGGGAAATTCGAACGATAGTATTTTTTTTAATTTGCCAACACTTTGTGAGTGGCCTGGTATTTATCGACATGCCTTATTCTATTCATGTATTTATTCTATTCTATTTTGCCACAACTGTAACACTAATTCCGCGCGCTCTCCCCGATCGTCACTGTTTACACCATGATAAACAATTTCATCATTATTTTCTAAGGACACAAAATGGTCCTGCAGTTCTATGTTTGCAGCAACGCAAAGATTATGTAAGACAGCACATGCATTTACGATTTTGGCACATACATGTGGTGCATAATGCAATGTGTGGACATGCGTTAGACACCGCCAACGAGCTTTCAATAAGGCGATACATCGCTCCACTGTGAATCGTGTGCGTGTGTGCATGTCGTTGTAGTGAGCTTCAGGTGTTCCTTCCTCAGCATGCAATATAGGCGTCATAAGCCATGGTCTCTGGGGATACCCTGAATCACCTGCAAACATTGGAATTCATCAATCAAAAAATTCTTAATGATTCTCAGTAAATCTAATCTACAAGACAATACTTGCCTAGTAACCATCCAGTCTCTCCTTGTTCATACAATCTTTGTATGTAACCTGACAGAAACATTTTGTGCCAAACATCACTATCATGTGCTGATCCACCAAAAGCAGCATTGATGCCTATTATTTTTAGGTCACAGTCACAAATCTGTAATTAGGAAAGATAAAATATAATGTAATTATGACAATAACAAATAATTTCATATCCAAAAGGAATCCAGTATGAAAATCAGTTTCACACTGCAATGTCAAATATGTATAAATTGCATTATTAAGCCTGCATTGAGTATTATCTGAAATATTAACAAATTATAAATAAAACTAAAATAATATAAATAACTTGTGGTTATTGAGAAATTAAATGGGAAAATATAAACAACAAGAAAATATTGTGACACTAACGTTCGAGTAATTTTTATAATGTGTGTAGCATCTTGTTTTTGATAGCAATACCATGTATAAATTAACGCAAAACTAACACTGAAGTATACATTCACTACATAAACTATGACTACATATACGAAATAATAAGATCAATAAACAGCAAAATATTTTAATGTGATGTTACGAATTATTTTCATGTATATTATTTTATTTAACCATTTTATTTCAAAATGATGTTTATTTGCATTCAACCATTAATGGTTTATTTTATGTTATGGCAACATTTAACTTAAAATGGAAATGGTTATTGACTCATGTTTTAATCTCTGTAAGATTTACTTTCAAACCCCAAGAGATTCAGGGTCAGAAAGGGTGAGAAAATCAATTTCTATTACATTTAAAAAATGTTGTGAAAGTCTAAAAGTGAAACCATGAAGCATTCTCCTTTCATATTTGACATCACAAAAAGAGAATTTTCAGTAATACTAGTAATACCTACTTATCAAATAAATTATTTATAATATTAATGTAGAACATAAAGCTTAACTTACAATGGCAACATTAATAGCATGGTATCCGTTACGGCAGAAGTATGCATCTTCATGCTCTTTTGGTCTTATGATAGCAACAAAAGTGCCATCTATGCACCCTATCACACCGGGTACTCCGAATTTCCTATAGAAACTGTAACAATGTATTACATCATTCATTTATTTTTAAAAGCCTCAGTGGAGTGGATGGAGTGCCACTGCATCGTTGCATGTGCGACTGCTGTTCTGTAACAACTATTTGAATGATCTGCAAATATTTGTTTCAGAGTTTAGGTGTTTTCTATGTATAATATGTACATCATCCTCATAAAGAGCCTTTAATAGTCTACTGCAGCCATAGGCATCTCCTTAGAAAGTTGGTTTTGGCCTTCTATACCACTCTGGCCAAATGGGTTGGTACAGGGTTTGTTTCAAGTTCTTCTCTTTGCAGTGCTGTTGTCCTACATAGTTTGCTCCCTTAGTCTGCTCTTACGACACCCATGGGATGAATAGGGGTGGTGACACTCTATGTTCTAAATCCATCACCACACAGCCATAATATGTACACATACAAAAAAAAGTAAATAGGTCCAACTAACTTTCATTGTAGAAGCTCTGCTTAGTTTGAAACTAGATGGCATTGTGTTTCAGATGGCTGAAATATTATTATATTATCGATAAGCATATTAGAAATCATAGTAAAAGTAAATAAATATTCTAATAATATGATATAGTTTACCTGACTTTTACATCATTTCGTTGGTGTTCAGTACATGGAAATTGTATTTGTTTTTGCATTATAGCGTTCAATGCATTTACAATTGTCAAATGGCTCCTGGACACACTCGACTGACTTAGGGAGATATCGCATTCATTACCAACTATTCTTTGATAGGAGCCAGTGGCCAGAAATGAGAGACTTGACAAAAGCTGAAAAGCAACATTAAATTTACACTGTCATGTAAAAAACAGTAGCTATTTACATGACAAAAACAAGATAAAAATATTAAACTACCTTTAATTCAAAAGGTACGGCATCACTTCTCTGACTTGGAGTAATGTGCACTCTTAACTCTTCTAATAAATACATGAACAAATCTTTGTTGACACGATATTTTTCCCTGAATAACATGTCTGAAATTTGTAACGGGTCTGATAGGTCTCTTAAGCGACGTTTTGTTATCCTCTCTCGCCTATGTTGAGAACGACGACTCATGTTTAATGGTTTCATTGCCTCCATTCTATTAGAATGAAACTAAAGTTTAATTTTGCTTAGATTCATATTGTAAATAAACAATTTGTAATATAATGTCGCATGGCATTATTTTGTATAACTTACTTGGCTCAATTTGTTTGCGAGTACGTTTTCAACACGCAATTACGTAAACGAGGTAAATTTGCAGTAAACTGCCTACAATTATTTAAATTCAAGACCAAAATATTTAGGTGTCTCAACTCAACTCTCTGTTCCAACATGACAAGTTGACATGACAACGTCCGTTCATAACATTATCCAATTCAGTCATAAAAGCGCCTTACGCTTTTCAAAACGTATACTCTTGATATTTAAAATCCATGTTGTACTTTTTGATTGATTTGCTTTGCTATTACAGCGTGTACCATTTTTTTTAACTTAAATTTATTTATAAACACACTACAAATAAATTATAACTGAAATTGTATTTTTTTTAAGTTAAGCCAACCAAAATATGGATTTATCTCTAAAATCGTACTCTTCGACTACCGTTTCACCACCCACATAAAAAACACAATTGCGACTAAAACACTACACGCTCAAAACAGTCTATAATACCACCACCACAAACCTCCTTCGGTTTTTCTATCTTATTTTTGTGTCTTTAAGGTAAAATAGTTCAACGATATTTAATTTAACAACGATCATATTGATCGTTGTTAACATTAAATTCTATGTTTACCATATCTTGAAAAGTTTAATAGTGCACGGCTGGACATAGGCCCGGGATTCTCTGAACGTCAGTCGCGTGCGAACGACGAACGACGAGTCTGCCGACGGTGATGTACGCCGTAGGCCGCGTGCGAGTGAATCGTATTTGTACTCAGAACAAAATGAACGAAAATACATTAACATTGCTTAGAGAATAAATGGCAGATGAACTTCTGATGTAATCAAAGAAAAAAAAACTTATTCAATATTCATAAAATCCCCGACCCACATAAATTGTTGTTTGATACATCGAACAAGATAATAAAATATCCTATAAAAATAATTAACAATTCGACGTGTGCGGCGTGCGAACTTGTCCTGAAAGTATTCCGTACATAGCGTTCGTACACACCGGTACCGACGACCGACACGCGTCGGTACCACGCGACCGACGTTCAGAGAACCGTATGCCTTGAAAAGGAGAATTTGGCCTACTAAAGCCAGAGCCTAGCCAGACTGGTTGGAATATTTTTGGTTTTAAGTTTTCCTTCCCTTTACACTGCTGTTATTCTGCAGAGTTTGCTCATTGTTCAGTTGTTGAACGAAAAACGTTTTCTCCACCTCAGCTGTCAAAGTCATACGATTTTCTAAAATATAGGTATGTGTCATTCACGTCATTAACATTTTGTTTTGGCAGTACGAAAACTACTTAACTCTTGAAATCTGGAATTCCCAAAAAGTTTGACCGTTGAGGTTCAAATATACGTTAATCCATAAAACATTTAAATGTGATGGATCGTAACAGGAGTAAAGATGCCTCTGAAGGAATTGCGGTGAGTACAATATTCCTATAATTAAAATTTTCAGCCGTTTATAATAGTTTCATGGTCAAGTGTCTATAATGAGGCCAATAACATTATTAATGTGGTGACAACTTTAAAAACTTAGATCAGAGAAATATACTTTGATTTTAACTGTGCGGAAGCATAGAAGTAAATACGAAAAGCATTTAGAATGTACTTTCTGGTACCCGCGATTTCTTTCGCGTCTAATTTGAAAAGAGATGACTTAGTGGCTTCGATTCCCGGACCGGGCAAAATTTTTAAACGTTTTAAGGTTTTTAGGCATTGGTATCGAGCAAATAACCATGTGAGCATGAAAAAAACCTATTAATTTGACATTACAAACAGACACTTCAATTTTATTCATTTGGATAGATAATTTTTTTTCATTATCTAATTTTTACTGCTCTAACGATGACCAAAAGGAATCCTAAATTTACTGTATTATATTTTTTTATCTATAGTCTTTCTCAGTCATCTCTTCTTAATTTAAAATATTGTGAAACCAGTTAATTTAAAATATTGTGAAACCAGTTAATCTGTTCTGGGATTTCCAACTACAATGTTACTTGTGATGTGTTGTGAAATAAACGAATTGAATTACGTGCATGAACATTCACATTATTTACTTATGTTTGTATGGTGTCTCTCTACCTGGTCAAATCAACAAATATATATATATATATATCTCGCTTAAATATTGATTCCCCATACAAACTTCCACCCCCTTAAAGGATAATTTCTGGGATAAAAAGTAGCCTAGCCTATCCTTCCCAAGGACTCAAACTATTGTTATACCAAATTTCATCTCAATTGATTCAGCAGTTTAAGTGTGGAGTGGTAGCAGACAGGCAGACATACTTTTGCATTTATAATATTAATATAAATGTATCCATTAACATTATCAAATTTTGCTTAAATTACATTTCAAGCTTAACTAACATTTTTATTGTTAAGAACAGTCTAGATACTCATTTTCTTGCAGCCTATGGGAATACAAGCATTGAATGAAACGGTGTTAAGTAATCAACCTGAGTCTCGCTATGAGTGTCCTGTATGTCTGAATTGGCTAAGAGATCCTGTCATAACAACTTGTGGCCACAAGTTCTGCAAAAGTTGTATTACTTCTTGGCTGCAGTAAGTACAAGATGAACCTTTGTAAAAAAATTGAAACAACTTCAAACAGCACTAAAAACATAACAGCAATTGCTGCTCATTAGCTGTGTAAAATTAACTTTATTATAATGTTAATTCATAGAATTCTATTCTACCAATTGTTTCACACTCTTCACACTGCTCTTGGCACTTTTCTTTTATCACTAAAGACTTTATTTTTATAGTAATGGAAGTAAATAAGTACTCTTACTTCTGTCACTATAAAAAAATATAGGTCATTAGAATTAAAAAGATTTAAGTCAAAATTTTATTAGTTCCATTTTCAATATATATTATGTAAAACAGTTAATAGAGTCCTATTAATTGTTTACAATGCCAATGAGAACATTCAAATAAAATGCTGGTGAAATAATTATTAAACCCTTTAATGATGAATTTACTGAAGATGGCAATATTTAATAAATGGTAATATATCTTTTACTCATGTAAAAGATTGTGTTATGAAGTTATTGTGGAGATGCCAAATAAGTTTTGGGACAACAGAGACCCTTTTGAGGACATAAAACGAGTAAAGTAAAAAGAGTGTTTTGTACCCAAAGGGTGTCTTTGCAACGAAAACCCCTTAATAAGTACAACTAGTTTGGCATTCCTGAAATCGACATTGCATAAAACCTTATATTTTCAATAAATGTGAGGAACACAGCTCACAAAAACATTTTTCTGAAGAGGTCAATGAACAGTGTGTTTTTTTTCCTAAATCCACCCACAAATATAAAGTTGAAGCTGATGTCATAAAACCATTTAAGTTAGATGACTTTTGTTTTTATTCTGGTCACTTTACCATTCTATCTATTTGATCAAAAAAAAATGGTTCATTGGAATATCAAAGCTCAAATAAGTATGATATAAGATTGTGCTGCATATTTTATTTTAACCTTTTACAGAAATAGTGGTCATTGTCCCATAGACAACATAAATCTGAGCATGAAGGTAGATATATTTCCTGACAATTACACCAAGAGGGAGATACAGGAACAAAGGATGAACTGCCCATTTTCTAGTAAAGGTTAGTTACAGTTTTTTTTTGACAATCTTATAATAGGCTCAAAGACAGCATACCTAAATTAGTTAGCAAATAATGTCCAAATTTTGTCACAAACTTTAGACTGTCATGGTCACTGAATCTTATTATTTATTTAACACACCTCTGAGTTGTGAGCTCTACATTTAGTCACATCGTTTATCCCAGAAGGGGTACACAGAGAACTAATTTAAAAGGCACTTTTGCTGTTCATAATTCCAGGCCCATTCACATAATATGGGCAAGCTTATTGGCAAGCCAACCAGGCACATAAATTTCTAAATACATACAGATTATATCTTAAATTCATATTGTTAGATCGAATTGTTACTTAATATGTTAACGGCATCTTTATTCCTTTAATAAGTAGAATAACTTGGCCATGCACAGCAATTTTATCTCTGAATATTATTATTGGTGATCAAAAGTTTTGCCTAAATACATTTTTTTTTCAATATTGTTATTACAGGTTGCTCAGTAAAAGTAACTCCGTTAGATCTAGACGCACACATAGCTGCATGTGAATACAACAAGCCAGAGACTTCGACACAACCAGAAATACGAGCGCCATGTTCTTTTCAAGCTGTCGGGTGTAAGGAAATGTTTGACAGCCAAGAAGAAATGAACTTACATGTACAAAATGAAGTGCAGAAACATATGAGTGTAAGAATGATTATAATTGACAATTCTAGGTCAACCGGAAGTACCCTATAGGTATTGAGTCGAAAACCTATATGGTAGTTCCCGTTGACCTAGAATCACGAAATTTGGCAAAAAGAAACGTCTTACAGCACAAATAAAGGAATAATTCCCAAAAATAAAAGAAGTGTAAAATTAAGATAAATTTTGATACTTACAAATTTTCGCGAAAATCTACTTAAAATCTGGGTAGGTACGGAATCCTCGGCGCACGAGTTCGACTCGTACCTGACCGGTTTTTTTATTGCAATATAACTTTGAAAACCGGTTTTTATGAATTTAAACTAATTAACGAATAAAAACGCAACGTAATCAAATGCATTTTATTCCACACATCTGTGATGTAAATTGAGGAAATTGCGAACTATAGAAAGTGGTTTATTGTCCATACTAACTTGTTTCCGCCAGATTTCATTTAATTAAATCCAGAATCGAAAAAACATGGGTTTTGAATCTCTGGCAGCGACTAAATTTTACATTTTTAAGTGTGCAAAATTTATTAAATTAAAGGTAGATTCTCAATTCTCTCAGTTTCTTCAGTCTCAGAGGGTTTCTCAATTTCTTGTAGAAAGCTTCTATGTCGCTGACTGTACAATGTACATAAATATTTCAGTTCCTTATGAATGCTTATTCTGAAATGAAAATAAATAACGATATGTCGAATGCTAGCATGGACGCTAAGGAACAGGAAGCTATGACTCTCTGGGAAGCTCCTGACAAAGATGGCAACCAGGCTTCTTCAGCACCGCTCGATAATACTAGTGCTCTGATAAGGTAAATAAATAATAATAACTTGAGATACATGATACAAGGTCTTCTGATATCAAACAAGGCAGAGTCCATGCTATGTTAACCAAATGACTGATAAACATTCTTACTAAATATATACATATTATAGATATACTGTCACATAATTATTTGTGTTGGGTGGAAATCGAACCAACAACATTTGTCTCTGCAGTCAAAATCACAAAAAATTTGACCAACAGGCCCAACCTGTAATCTGGCTCGAAGGACCATGTGGAAGTAAGGAAATCAGTTGGAATAATTCGTAGTAAAGTAAAATTTCTAAATAATCTTACTCGAAAATAGTAAATAGTGTAATGTTTTGTCGCAATAATGTAATGAAAACCTCGGTCTTCCATGGTCTCGTAAACATCGATGGTTTAAATTAATAAGTTATATGTATACTTAGCCAATAACCATACAATTGTGCTTATTAATGAAATTCAGAAACTTTTTCCTCGCACAACCAGTTTGTAGAATAAATTGTCGCCCGAAATATTTCCGTACCGTGACTACCTTTAAGAAAACTTGCACTCCTATCTGAAAGTGTGGAGGAACTGGTGTCATGTCCCTCCAACACAGAGGAAGGATCCTCCGACCAGGCGAGGTGATCATGCCTGGCGGTTGATGTTGAGAAGTTGTATATATTTTATCGGCGAGAGAATTCTTCATATCGCTATACAGGATTAGGAAGTCTCCTTCAGGAGTTACTCTGTAGTTCGATTTGTCTTCGTTAGATGGCGCTGTAGTATGTTTCTGTCTTTTTATGTGGGAGTCGCCACAGCCATCAATTGGTCAACGCGCTTGTGACTCCTGAGTTGCAGGTATTCATGGGTGACGGTTGTCACTTTCTATCAGGTGACTCGTCTGCTCGTTAGTCCCTCTTATCATAAGAAATATTATTATTTTTATTAATTTAATAATGTTTTTAGAGCACTCTACGAAAGAGTAGTTGTACTAGAGCAACGAAACCGCGAACAAGACATCGTAATAGCGAACATGTCTAAACAAGTATCAGCTTTTGCCGTCGCAAAAATGAAGCAAAACAACGACATGTTGCTGAGGTATTGCATGGGGAACTATATTTGGAAGATCGATAACTTTAAAACAAGACTGGATGCGATGTTGAAGGACCATTATAAAATGTTGTACAGCCCTGGATTTTTCACGTCCCCTAATGGCTACAGGTAATTCTACATTCCAGACTAGTTTTGTTTTTAATTTTTCTTTGTAGACAAATTTAGGCATTCCATTAACACCCTCAGTATGTAACATTAACGTTAGTTACTGAGTAATAGTAATAAAGCTTATTAGCATAACAGCAAAAGCACAACAAAAAGCATTCACCTCTTCTGCTTATACAATGCGAGAAAAAATTAAAAATTATTTATTTGACTTGCGTGAATTTCGAGTCAAAAGAAAGCCGGAATATAATTTATCTCTATGCCCAATTTTATCCAGTTCCATTCAACCGTTCTGGCGCCATTGAGAAAAAAACATTGGTTCAAACTTAATAATTTTTATAATAAAAGAAAAGACTTATCAGCTATATTTAAAAAAAAACCTCCTTATCAAAATTGTATTAAAAATCACGAATTTTTCCACAATTTATTTAATCCATCTAACATTGGTTACCATCTCCAGTTTGAAAATGTAAATCATTACATTGCAGATTCTGTGTCCGACTGAACATTTCCCCGCAAAACCCTCAATGCTTTGCCCTCCACGTGCATCTAATGAAGACAGAGAACGACGACTGCCTCGAGTGGCCCTTCAACGGGCGCATATCCTTCGCGATGATTAACCAGTACAACCCGGACATGACGCAACGGGATACTATGATGTCCAACTCCTCGCTCATTGCCTTCAGAAGACCAACAGCGGAAATATGCGTGCGAGGGTTCGGGTATACGGAGTATGCGGTAGTTAGTGATGTTGTCAGAAATGGGTTTGTGAAAGATGATGTATTTATTGTACGTGTTAACATAAAGTGTGTATGACAGCAAGTTTGATAGGTCTACCCCATTGGCGATGCAGACGTGATTGTATGTATGTATGATAGTAATAGTAGGGGTTTATTTTGACTTGTTATTTCTTTATTTTTTAAATGGAATTTTTTTTTGAATCTTCAAAGATGTATTTTCAAAGCTGTTGTTGATTTTCATACAACTGCAGCTTCAGTGAATCTGATATAGTTTGTATTGTGAATGAATTAACATCCAGGAAACCTAAAAATTACTAAAGAACAAATATGAGATTATGAGGATTATGTTCCTCGTAAATCAAAAACTAAAGAGATTAAATCCAAATTTTTTTTTTTAAATTAAGAATCTCTAACTTTTAAAATCTTTTAGAAATTACAAAACTGTGATGTGACTATCGCCTTAACTAAAAAAAACATACGCAAGATTGTACATTGCGCTTTAAAAAAGACATGTTTTATAAGTAAATTGAATATGGTGATTAATAAAAAAAAATGTAAGTTATATAATAACTATAAGGACATCGGCAGATCTTTGAATATTATTTATTTTTAAATATTTTCCCACATTAAAATCGAGTTATATTTATACGTTCCTTTACATTCCAACCAATTTAAATAATCGTTTTAGATTAGATTTATATTTGTAATATCACTGAATCTTATATTTAAGAATCACCATAAAAATGTTAAATAATATAATTTTACTTAGTCATTATAAATAGGTATTATATTCCGTCCGTCGGTTCGTCCGTTTTACTTTACAAAAATGGTATAATTTCACTGAATTAATTTGGTTTAAGATAAACCTACGTAATCGTCTTCTTTTGACGACTGGATGGCATAGTGGTTTGTGTAACGGACTGCTATTCCAAAGGTTGCGGGTTCGATTCCCGCTCAAGTCAAACATTTGTGTGCATGAACATTTGATGTTTGATTTGGTCTGGGTGTTTCTATGTATAATATGTATGTATTTACAAAAAAAAAAGTATATATGTATTTATATCAGTTGTCTAGTACCCATAGTACAAGCTCTGCTTAGTTTGGGACTAGATGGCGTTGTGTGTATGTGGTAGAATATTATTATTATTATTTTATTATTATTTTGTTATGTATAAACATTTGAAGCCTTTTGTCTATTTAAGATAGTTAATCGAAGTATAATTATGTACATACACGGGAATAGGGTAGATACCTAGGTTTAAAATAAACAGTTTCGCCTGCATCATTAAATGTAACATCTTAAAGTAGAGCCTGAATTGTCCTAGATTTCAATTTAATGTTTTTATTATCTTTAAATCAACATTAAGTATCTGTATACATGATTTGACAATCGCTAGGTATGACGTCACTCCATAGTATTTCATGCAAAAATGTACCGTCGTTTTGACGTTTCATAAAAAGATACTAATTTTACCTTAAAAGTCATCACCCTATCACCATGGCCAATGCAAACTTTTAAATGGCCTGACGTGTGGAACAGCAAATGTCAGTCCAGGTATCTTGTACCTATTACATAATAACGTTAATTCCAGTGTGTACACATAATTATATATAATGGAATACGAAAGTTCACGTTCAAGTTAAAGAATGGATACATCAAATTATTAACGTTAGTGTTCTAGAAGAAACTAGAACTACTTTTAGAAAGTTATCTGTGCGATGCTAACCTCAAGCAGTAAAATGTTCAAACTTATACTGATGAAAATCATTATGGTGCTATATTAACTAGATCAGTATTATGTCGATAAGACATAAATAATTTATATTAAGATTATAGTTATTATTATCAAGTAGACCACTATAATTTAAAATGTCAATTTTAATTTTGTTAGTCATGTTTGAAATGTGGCTTGTACAAGAGTTCGTTTCAAGAGTGTCCGTTATAATGAAAGGAAATCTATTTAACCGTCCGAAGATCATCAGATATCTCCTAATCAGTGATGGGAGCTGAAAGTCAAGGGTATTTTAATTTTTATTTGTTATTTATTGTAGTATGAATCAATGATGAAGTTTTTTATGCATTAAGATTATGCACTTAAGTAAAAGATTTATGTAAGAAGAGAAAGTCAATGATCTAAGCAAGTATTGTTAAGATATAGACATTAATCCATCCATACTCTAGTTACTGTCTTTCCCCTAGTGGGGAGTTTACGGGAAACCCGTATTCCCCCCACCCCCACCCTAACTGGGGCGGGAGGCACTCAAAAGGGGGCAACCAACTTGTCTCTGTTGAGTTATAGTCACTTACCATGATGTGACTCGTCTGTTCGTTTCCCCCTATACAATAACAAAGTTATTATTAATATTACGAGTAGTTTGTTATACATATTTAATTTATACTTCAATATATTTTTAACTCACAATTTATATTATACATTCCAATTTTGTGATGATTCTTGGGAATTTATTAAGGTTGCCCAACAAAGAGACTTGTGCCTTATAAATGAACCCTTTACGTACTTATTGTATTAAAATGAAATATAAATAATATTACAATTATATTCATTGTTTTATTTCACTGCGATTCTGACCAGAATGAGACTAGCATGTTATGTTTAAAGAATAACTATGATCTCGCGATTATAATCTAACAATATTTACAATTTTACGGTGACTTAGTCTGGCCATACATACTGTTACAATTAAAACAAAACCATAATATTACATTTGAATTTGGAATCTGTCATTCCTAAATTACTGTTTCCTCATTTTCGCGCCAATTGGTGTTAAATATTTTTGTGATATTGGAATGGACTGGGGTGGTAAGGAGAACCCAATTTGCTGTGATAACATTACACAAAGGTATGGAGCCAAATGCAATTCTTAAAATTTCTCATGTTTTGTTTTTAATTTATGTACCGGGCTATTGATAGGTAGGTACAACCTCCTATGTTTGACAGAAAAAGATGTGGCCATTCACGTGTGTATTCATACCTACGAAAAAGGCAATCATAGAAGCTAAGGAAAAAAAATCAGCAAAATCATCAGTCATGCAAAATATTTTATTTCGGGAAAGAATCATATCGAGTATTTTAAAGGATGACTTAGGTCTTGCAGCGTATAAGAGATGCACTGGTCATTATTTAACTGATAATTTAAAAATGAATAAGGTGATAAAATCATAACAGCTTCTTAAGTGGTACGCAGAGGTCATAGGTTTTTTTTATTTACCTACTGACGAGTTTTTTTTACCATTGAGCAATATTTTAACAAGCAGCATGGCCGAGTTTATGCTCAAAGTTCTATAGTTTTCAATTAGCAGTTCATTTAAGTATTATGAATTGACATACAGAAACGGGTGGGTCCCTTGTTTTTTGGCATTTATGAGAAAGCTAACATTAATTCTAGCTCAGGGTTTTTTAGGTGGAGTCGTTTAAAGCTGCTAATCGAAATGAGAAGGGTTGTTTCTCAACCAGTATATGTGGGCTAACAATTACGGTAACCTTTTCCATTTACATAATAATATAGTTATTGCTTTAAATGGATTGTAAATAAAAACTAGTAGTTATGTGACAATCAATTTATTGGTATTAAATTCTTACAAAGGTAAAGATTTACAGGCTAATTGTCTTAATAAAATATAGGAATTTAGCTTATATAATGTAATAAAACTAAAAGCTACTTAATTTTTAGCCTTATCACATTCAACCATCACAAAACTTCCCTAAAAAAACATTCATATGTCACAAACGACATTTTTGAATCATTACAACGAAAAATGCTAATTTTACCTCCTAGTAAATGTAAGTTTCGAGGTTTTAAATAAAACTTATTCATTCATATAAAATGTCTACAATGTACTACTCGAAGTCTGTAATAAACAATAATGAAGCTGAGATCTTTATATTTAACGGCTGTATGAGCTTACAAACCGTAGATCACTGATATGTCAAGATATTGTCGAAGCCGTGAAAGCGTCGAAAAAAATAGTGGCCAACTGTTGGACACATGTAAACACACATACACGCACTGTCTTCACACACTAGTAAAGAACAATGCCGTTTTGCGAGTGTAAAAAAAGTATAATAAAGTTGGCGAGCACGCTATAATCGTTTTGTAGAGCGACACGCCATAGACATAGTAATAATATGAGTTACAAACATACGATTTTTGGTACATCTTAAAAGAAAACAAAGTGTAGCATTCACCACATATGAGTAGAATACTATAGAACCAGTCCATTACTTGCTAATATGCAAAAATAAAGATTCATTGAGACAACCATAGTTACGCGTCCAGCTAAGCAAGTCTTAACAGAATTGAACGTCATTTTTGGCAACGAATAATAAGAACACAACTTAATGCACGGTTTAGGATCTAAACTATTTTGTTACAAAATATACTATTCTTATCTCTCATATACACACTAATAGATTAAATACTATAAAAATATTTTTAATTTTTACCATTGTGATGTATCTATACCGAATCACTTTAATATAATAATATCTAAGTAGTCTACGAATATATTTTAGACCCAGTGATTCACACTAGTCAACATAATGCAATCATATCCTCATACTTTTTCTACGTTAATCGCACTAGTGCGCAAATTTGAATTTTAAATGTATCCACGCCCCAGGTACCTCAAGGTCATTGTGCCGGGGCGTCGTAGCTACGATAAACAAGCTATATGAAAATATTCGAACGTAAAATTAAATATTACAAAAATTAGATGGTCTACAAGTTATTTTATAATCGGCAGGTCCTTGCTTACTTACTTTACAACATAATAGTATATTTTCAAAATAATCTTGGACGACACAAACAGAACCAAATTACATAACTATGTGTGTGTCTGCAAACTATGTTGTGGTATAGAATTTAAGCAACGCCCACTGAGTAAATTTTACGTAGTGCTTTTTAATAGAATTACTTCATTTCTCAATATTCGGTTAGTTTTTAAGACAAGTTTTGTTATATATGTACTATAGTCAAGGTGAACAGACTTACAATGTGGCACTTATAACCACAGTCTGTGTAAAAACTAATATTTATAGTACAATAAGTGACTACCACATTATGGCTTGCTACAAAAATACTTCTTTCAATTGTGAATTAACTTAAAATTATTTGTAACACATTTCCCGATTACCTATTTTTCGGCATATCATTTGTATATAAAATAGTAAAGCATTTAAAAAAATATTTGTGTGATAGTAGCGTAATATTACTATTTATCTGTAAAAGATAAGTGTGCAACAATATCAAATAGAAAACAAACAAAAGCCTCTATTGCACATATTTTGTTGAATTGCAACTAAATTTAATTTAAAATTACAGAAATCTAATTGTACTATTAATAGCTATTTCGTGAGATATATATAAGAAAATTTTAATTAATTAATTAAACAATAAAGAAATACAATTGCAAATTAATAAAACTAATACACAAGTAATGACATTCTCTCTTTTTTCGTTTAAACTTCACATTTAAATAATAAATTTCAACATAAATCGAAGTTTACAAGCTTAATATCACACCTTCGGCAGTTTTCGCCATCTTTGTTAATTTCGTACAAGTATCTTTTTTCCAATCACACTTCATTCAATTATTTTTTTTATTCCAAATGACTACATCGCTATACATAACGACTAATTAAATATAAGTACCTACTAAAATGTGAATTGTTAGCCAATTACAATTAATATAATTATTATTTGATATTTATTAGATATAAATTATGCAACAATTGCAATGCCTAATAGATATTTGAGATAGTGCGCGAAATAATGCTACCAGAATATTGTTTTAAATAAAATCATAAAACAAAAAAAAACCTATTGGTTCTGCTGTATTCAATGATTAAAGTTCGTTTTTAGATTTCATTATTATAACAGAGTACTACAATGTTTAATTTAGAAATCGTATCTCTTTTTCTCTTCTCTCAATATCTCATCATCATCTTTTTTCTACTTCCGAACACAGCATCAAAAAACAAATAACAATCGTCACAGAACAGAATGGAAAGCTTTAGTTGCGATGGGAATAATTGATTAAAAGGAAGACATGTTTGACGGAAGCAACACGACCCTACACCACACGGTTTTAACGTAGGTTTATAGTCGAGCTTCTAAAACGGTATTTGGCAAATCGATACTATGACGTCACAACACAGTGTTACACTCGGGTCTTTTGCTGAATTCTCAACTTTGAAAACTCAAAATTTTACAATTCAAAAAGGCTGCTATCGAGCCGAATTTAAATCTTGATCTCATTAAACATTGAGTTTAAAGGTGAGAACCGTGGGAATTTCTTTTGGCTTCATAATATCTTTATTATTCTATGTTTTATTAAAGGGAGACGTCAAATTGACAATTTCACATCGAATGCGACTTGTCAAACCATTTAAATTCAATGGAATGTATGAAAATCAAGTGTAAATATATAATCGCGTTTGGAGTGTACCTAATTTGTAACAGAAACTATTCAAGTGTTAACTTACTCAAGCTCTATAATTTCTACATATCACAGTAACGGTAAACAAATGCATTATGTTAAAAACACGACCCCAATAATATATAATTCATAATATGAAAATACACACATCCTTAAAATACAAAACGGACCACCAGATTTTTTGGCACGTGCTCTTGTACATAGACAGTTGCTGAAAATTGTTGTAACATGGAAGGAAATACGATGAGATACAACTTAAAACTTCACACGATATTAATTCTTGTAGACAATATATTACAAATATTAAAAAAAATGCATAGTAAATAATATATACACACTTTACCGGTGTTTTGCCGTGGTCCCTACTACGGTTTTGCAATATGTACACCGGGGAGATTATTTTTACACATTTATCCACTTGTACAAGCGTATACTATAGAACAACGGACAAGCAAATAGTACCTATTTCACATTAATTGTACTTGTATTTTGTATTTTTAATTTAGGGTATATATTTTTGTCATTTTGTTTTCTTAGTACAATTATAATTTAGACAAAAAGAGAATATATAGGAGTTATTGAAGAAATGCTTTCTTTTTAATGCGAACGTGTATATATTATTGGGATACAATATTAACATTCGTTTTAAAATAATAGTTGCGGTACCATAAACAAGCTTTGTGATACATCGCTAAATTCTTAATACAAGATAGAGATACATAACTTACTAAATACTTCGTATTTCTTGATTTCAATTCTGTATGGAGATCTATACAGAGTGGAAAGCTAGAAATACGAAGAAAAACGAATAACTAAACTTAAACCGAGATGGGTTTAAGTTCAGTTATTAATTAAAAATATAAACAACATGGCGATCCACACTTTGAGAATGGGGCTCTATCGATCCCAAACTACCTAGTTTTGGGCTCGACACCTCTTGGTGTACCTGAACTGAACTATACATAAGAATAAAAGATTACATAATAATATATACATATAAAATTCAGTGAATGTTCGTATATAACGCACTGCTGTAGCGTTCCCTCGTCCAATTCGAGAAGATACTTTGATCCAAAAAACAAATTGTCCACAGGGGTGAATATGTCTTTTACGCAAACGAAAATTTTATAAATATGTAAAGGATCATATTAAGAAAATGTTTTTTTGTCAAATTTTAAATTGCAATAAAAAAAAATCTTAACATAGTTGCTTGCATTTTTCTAAGCTTCCCACTTGCTCTTTATTATAAACTAGCCACAGACAGACATAAAGTTACTTCTTACACTTTTACTTAAATTGATTGAATTTGAGATTTTCAATGGATTACGAGAACAGTTTTTTGTTTTTGATTGTCATTTGATCTCATTCATTATTATTTTCATTATAAAAGCTATTTCCTCTTATTGTGATTATAAAAGCCTCTATCTATTGATTGTTCGGTACGTTCATATATACGCAGTCATACAGATTAGAGCCCTAATACACTTAGATAAACTACACTTACAACTAACATTAAGTATGACAATTTCTAACTTAACACTACACATCAAACATACATAATATAAATAACATATCGATTTAAGTATGAAGATCATTGTATTTACTATTTAAATTTTAAGAAAATTATAACTTTCCAATGCTCATCTGAGCTAGATGGACTTAGCCCTGACACAAATTTTTCAACAGTAAACAATCCTCCGCCTCTTTTTTTCAACTATATCTAACCGCTTGCACCATTTTCACCTTATTCTTATCCATGAACAGACATAATCTCACGAACAATGCTAAATATTGTCAACAACCCACCGCTATTTTATACATCATATCAAAGTCAACCTTGTTACACAGAGACATTAAGTCGATAATGATATACATAATAAATGGTATCACAAAAATTTCAAAATGTAATGATTTTTCCAATCGATTCTTCTTTATAAAGAATTCTAATCAGTTAACTTCGTGGTTTAATATGTACCCATAGGTTATAATAATAGTAAAAAAGCCTTTACACTAACTATAGCCCAATTGCGTTAAGAAAATAGTGACGCATCGATCAAGCCCCGTACCCCGACCAATCAGATGATTGGCCTGGGTGCGGGGCTTGATCGATGGATGGATGGATGGATCCTTGGAACCTCCAAACTTTCGTTTGAAACGACAATTTCTTGGAACCTGATTGGTCAGGGGGGCGGGGCTTGATCCATGCTTCACTATTATCTTAACGCGAATGGACTATAAGAATTGTATTTTCAATGATGAAGCTCCATCAATCATAAGTACTTGTAAAACATCGGTATCGGTATGCATTTCATTAACCACCAGGTTTATTAAAGCCCAATTTCATTAACTTAGTTTCAACTTCAAAATAAGGTAGTGATTAACTGAGCCGTTGGATATCTTAATTATTTTTATTGGACGGGTCTTCCAGCATGGCTACCAAAAAACATTAAATAAATATGCTACCTTATTAATATATATGTTACCTTCTTTCTAGGAGAGGCCTATGTCCAGCAGTGGACTATTAAAGGCTGTTGATGTGATGTGTGTGTGTGTGTGTGAAATATGCAGACCTTAAGTACTGAAAATAGCGAATGAACGTTTGTAAAAACATCGTTAAATATTCATTATTAATCACGTTTTGAACTAAAATTACAAGTTATCCTTGATTAATATAGGTGACTATAGGTATCTATTATCGATCGCTCTTAATTAGTTGTAAAACAAAGACTATAAGTTTACATATTAATGAGAAATGTGTAATGAAAGAATAACTATTTTCTTAATAATATTGTCTAGTATATCAGTAAAGTAGGTGATTAATACCCCTTCATCTATGCATTCCATGGTTTCTCTCTCCATAGTTATATAAGTTTAGACCGAGCTGCTGGAATCCCCAGGGAAATGCAGCTGATTGTCTCCCCCGCAGCTGGGAGTGGGTGACGACGGCGGGTCCAGAGAGGCGCGAGATGTTGAACTAAAACTCGAAGATGACAATTCTTCTTGTTCAGGTTCGTAACGACCGCCTGTTGTTATTGCTGGAATACAAAGAAATGTAAAATTACATGATTTATTTATTGAATCTTCTAAAAAAACTCAATGTATTTATTTCTACTCTTTGCACTTTCTAATCATCGTGAAATTTTACATACACGTTGTCAGAGCTCATATTACTACTTTTTTTTTTAAACTTCATCTATAACAAAATAATATAACAGGTTTTTAAAATGGTCACTGTTTTTTCTTTTTGGTCACATGTCTCACAGTATAATTATGAAACACCTGGAGGTAAGTACTCTATTAGTTAAAAAGACGATGTGTGAGACCTTGGTCAGGCTTGCTTCTCATCACAATAATTGAAGTCAAAACAGAAACCATATTATAAGTCGATTTAGTAGTTCCTTGCAATTGACAAAACATGATTAGATGTAACAACGAACAGAGTTGAGTAAGATTTTTTCTAGAAAATAAACTCACTAGGCCCACCGTACATTATATTTGACAGACAACGGAAAGTTATCAAATAGGTTTATCTTAGTCTAACGTTCGTAACACTATAGCTTTGTCTATTTTCGCCACGTGGCTCGCGACATAAACGACGATGTAGTGTCACATTTCTTACAAAAATTGTTTTACTGTGTACTTTGTAAGTTCTTATTTTTGACGTGAAACATCTAATGCGAATGGTCAGACCAGATGTTGGCGTGGCGATGCGTCGCTACGCAATGTGATAGCATAAGCAATATGTAATGTGGTGTAGCGACGCGCCACCGTGCGCAAGTGATTCTATGACTCTCTCACGCTGATTATTTATCAAAGTGATTTTACACTTATTATTGTTACAAAATAATTTCGGTGTTTCACATCTGTCAGATGTACCGGGACGGTTAAATTTCTTATTCCTTTCTACAGGTATACCTTGACCATGTCGATCTACTATGTTCTTTATCTGGGTTCTTATCAGAGCTATGTCATTGTAAAGAAGCAGCCCAAATCCATGATCTTGGGATTTCCTTCTTATGATGAGAACACAGTACGTCTTAGACGAGTTGACATAACAGTTTTTAAAGGGACCCCAAGCGAAAAAAAATAGATAGTAAAAAAAAACAACAAAATTGTTTTTGAATTCTCATCTTTAATACATATAGATACAATCCTGATTTTTTTAAACACTCCACAACTTTATTAACAAAATAATACAGCCAAGTGTTACATTACACGCGACAAACTTTAAGCCAAAGACATATTCAACATACGCTACATGACAACTGCTGAAAACATTTTGCCTCATAAATCCAAATGATCACAAATTTAGAACGCAAAATTCAACCTTGTGACCATGTCTTTCAAACTGCAACAAACTAAAGGAATAGCTAAGAGAATATCGTCATCGTCAACAGCATTTGATTGTCCACTTCTGGACAAAAGTCTCTCCTTAGAAAGGAGGTTTTCTTTTTCAACGATTACAGAAACATTAAATTAGTCACAAAAGGGTTTATCAGGCAAAAATTTTTCACAATTTTTAGGGAATTTTATAAAAAACGCACTCAGTTTATAATTCGATTATTATTAAATGTACGAGAAGTTTTTGCTTTATTTATTGAAATTGATATTTCTTCATATTAATATATTAAACTATTAAACTGTGATAGTCCATACATACAGTGAATAATGAGTATCGATACCCACGTTGGAACTTATTATAACATTTAATAATAAAAATTTAGGTAACTTTAAACTGAAAGTGGGTCATATACTAACTTTTTGCATCACCTGAAATCTTGGCAATCCTATTTATTTTGTCAGGTTACTTGTACTTTAAAATACCATTTAGCAAATAGACTTAAGGCCATTCGCATTCTGTAAACATTAGAGTTTTCAAATTTCAATTCGACAATATTCGCGCGTTTAGGCAACATCGAATTAGAGATGAGAATAAAATTTTGATAAAATTGTACCGTTTTGGAAACCAAAATACTACTACTAGTATCAAAATACTAGTAGTAAGATATGTTAAAAAATATTTTAAATCATAAAATGTGAGAGATAAAAGATCTTATGCTGCCGTCAATAAGGTAAAACTAAAAAATATACCTAATATTAATATCACTACACATGTAGAATAAAAGGTACCAAAATAATAAAATATTACATTTTGGTATTGATTGATTCAATTGTTTAAATTACAAAATAAGTCATTTTTTAAATAAGTACCATCCAAATTGATTGCAAAATTTGATTGATTTGCTCAAATTTGCATCGCACTTTTAGTAAGAGAAAGCTTTTAACAAAAGAAAAATCTTGTTTATCCTATACAATCACAGATATAATTAAAACAAAAGGCTTATTATTATTATTTTCGATACTACCCGCATTTGTAGGTCTAATAGTTATAAGGCTCGATAGAAAAGGATTGAAAATCTTTTTAGAGACTAGGAATAAATGACGTCTCATCAACGTGTCAACGTTTAAATACGCGGGTTTATATGTCAAATAGGGTACGAAAAAAATGACATCATTATTTTGTTTTTTAAAATTTAAAATAGTTGCAAGCATTAATCAGAATAATATCTGACATAGGGATGTTTTCTATACCCTATTGTCTTACATAATTCATGAAATATAATATGTAAGTCTTTGTAATTCATTTGCGAAAAAATCCTACCGTACATTACCTGCCATCTTGATACCTAAACAATTTTAGCAGTAATTTCATAATCTAATTTCTTTGATTTACTAAAATGATTAGTCTTTTTATTTTACAGTAATTGAGACCGATTCAGTTTCTTCTTATGAAACCTAAATTTCATTTCAGAGAGATTTAAAAGAAATATTAGACTAAAAAAATATTGTTTTTATCAAATAATAATAAATTAGTATTATGCACCGCCTACGTATGACATTGCTTAAGAAATAATTGAATTAAAAGACACAAAAAGAATTCGATTAGTCGCACATACAATGAACATAAATATTTGTCATGTTTCAACACATTAAAGCTAAATAAAATTATTAAAACATTGGTTAATAAATAATACTTGTTGATACAACATATTTGTACACGATGACAGCCGTAAATCTGAGAAGGTACTAATACATACCAATTTCACTAAGTTAGTGTAACAAGGGCGGATCCAGAGGGCGGTATATTGACAAATTTAACACAATAAATACTTTGTATAATGAAACACATAATACTACTAATCCAATATATGTAAATAGTTAATCCTACTAATGATTTATTGTTATAATAAGTAAATATTGTTCTTGTTGTCCTGAGTTCTGATTTGACAAAAATGTCCCTTCTCCCCCCAGAGTTAAAGGTTGGATCCACCCCTGTTTACGATCAACTGCTTCAGCAAAAGACATTACAACATAACTAGGACATACAAGTGCATAGAGCACACAATATTGAAGAAACAACGATATGCCACAAGAAAGTAGATCATTGAATACGAATTTATAAGAAATCTAGAGACAACTATGGCCCATTCGCATTTAGCAATCCAATTGATTGCATTGAATGCCAAATAAGAAATGAAACCGAAATTCCTAATTTTATACAAAGTGGGTGTACTAAGTATAAAATTTTAAAATTAGCTATAGTAAATTAAGCTATTAATTTAAAAGTATCACATTTATTTGTTTGTAAACACTTGTTGAAAGAGATTGTTGATTTAATTAAACAAAAATACTGACACATCTAATTCAGAAACAGTGATTTGAAGCAAACAATAATAAATTAATACTGAGGTGATATATGATTAATATGAGCCTCAATCTTATAAAGGTCTTGTGGGCACTTTTGTTGAAAGACCTCAAGAGTAAATTGTTGTAATTAATTCAGATATACAAGTCCATACAACAAGGTTGAATTCCTGCTTCAAAAGAGAGACAAGCTATTCGCTAAAAATTTATATACTGGCCTATTAAAGGTCTGTGAATAAAGATAGTGTTTATTTAGCCTATTGCTTGCATAAAATATGCAGTTTGATTTCACTACATCTATAACTAAATAAAGAAGTAATAAGTACTAAGACATACTGTTATAAAAAAAATGTATTCAATTGTTTTGTGAAGCCATCGCACCAATGATAAAAGGTAATATCAAAATATAGAAATGAATCTAAAATTAAAGACTAAACTTAACGTATTTTTTTACGAAATTGATGGTTCTCTTTTGTGTCTTCACAAAAAATCGAATAAAGTATGTTTTTTCTTGAATTTTACTAAGTTTTTAGATTTTTATATGTTTTTTTTTGATATGACATACAATACCGCTACAGAACAACGATAAAAAGTTATTGCCTTATATACTTTAGGCTGTAGTAGCATATATTTTTAAATCATTTTTTACTATATTTTAAGTTTTTTTTTGTCTTTTACCTGTGCTTAATCACATAATTGCGTTACTTAACTAATATTACTACAACAGCAGCAAACATTTGATTTATTATACGCGTAAATATAGAGATATATGTTATCAGCTTAAATTATGCCAAAGAAATAATAAAATTACAACTAGCTAACCAACTCGTGTGAATTGGCAGAAGGTACAATGTAGCCCTCACAACACAACTGTTGTGTTTGGCATAACCTAAGGTGAGTATATCTCATTTTCAAACTACTAAAATTATTGCAAAAATCGGAACGTAGATTATTAATATCACTGAACACATTAATTCTACTATTACTTTTTCTTCTTACGCGATTTTTTAGATTTAGATGATTGCTTGGTAAAAGGCATAGTTACATTAGAAGCACCGGTTGATTTTTTCTCCTCCTTGTCGCTATCAGTAGACACTACTGGTGATGCGTTATCATCATCTGACGATTTCTCCATCACCTCTACATCTTGATCTTCAAATTTATCATCATCTACCTTAACTTCCTGTGAAGTTATTTTGTCATTTTCGACAACATTAAAACCTCTCTCTTTTTTCACAGGCATTTTCTCTAAATCTATCAAATTGAAAGCGCTCGTCATTACAGTTTTACTAGTTGCTTCATTCATAGTTGACAATATACTGTCTATATCAAGCTTACATATAGGACTTGTTATCTTCGAATCACCAACGTCTAAAAGACTGTCATGCATCACTTCTAGTTTGAAACCGTCTAAACCGAAACCTAAAGGTTCTAATGTCGGTATATCGAGTATCGAATGATGTTCATCAACAAAATTTAGTTCTGTAGGCGCATCACACTCAGCTACCATGATATCAGTTCGCTTGCAGAGTTCTATTAACTTCTCCTGTAGAGACACCTTTGAAATAGACCCCGTTTCTTCTTCGACATCTAAAACGTCACTTACCTTCTTTGTTTTGTCTTCTTTATTTTCTAATAAAATTGGATTTTCAATAGGTATTTCTTCTTTTTTGTTACTTTTAGACGCAGCTATGGAACTCCAAGATTTTATGGGCTTTTCAATTACTTCCACTTCCTGACTTGCCCCAGGTTGAAGAGACTTCTTACGTGTCTTAGTCCCAGGGAGAACTCCTTTAGTTATTTGTATTTCTGGAAACTCATCTTTCATTGTATCTATTACATATACATCTTTCACTTCATTATCGTAACGTTTTTCTAATTTGCGATCGGAATATGGCGATGGCGATTTACTTTTCTTGGGTTTAGCTGAATCTATTACTGATACAGAACATTCCGAATCTACATCAATCACTTTAAGGGAATCTATTTGAAGGGCGTCTGGTTCTTTTACTTTCGGTTTCGCTTTTATATTACTTTTAGGTATGAATGCGACATCAGATACATTGTCGTCGTTTCTATTATATTTAGGTGCGGTTGTAATTTCTGTTTCTAGACCCCAAATATGTTTATCTTTAGCCTCAAATATAATTTTCCTCTCCGGTGTAACACTTTTAGGGGATCTCGCCTTTTTCGCTTTAGCCAAGTACGATACTGGTTCTAATTCTTCATATGGAGTTGAAATTTCTACTAATTCACCGCTAGGTTGTTGTTGTTTATCTTCAATAGCATGTATTTCAACAAACGTATCTTCCTCTTCTTTCGCATGAAAATCTTCCTGAGGCTTTCTACCTTTTCGAATTCTTTTAGATTTCGGTTTAATTTCCTCATTAACTTTATCGTCTACTGGTGGTAAACTACTACGTGAAATAGTTTTCTCCGACACGTGCCAAAGCATATCCCAAGCTTGTTCCTCTGTTTTTATGTCATCTTTTGAAACATCTTTCTTTTCTACTTTTTCTTTTAATATCTTGCGGTCTGACTTATTCTTATTCGAAAGTTTTAATGGAGCACAAATCGACGATGTTTCCTCGGGAGTATCTGTAACTATACCAGAATCGTTAAAAATGGACTCTATACCAACGGAATCCTTAGAAATAGGCTTTTTGTTTATGGCATCCTTTGATGTTGATTCTTTTGGGATCGATGCACCGCGTATTGATTTTGCAATGATTGTCTGGCTTATTGTACACTCCTTTATAACAGATTCCTTCGAAACAGGCTCCGTTTTTGCTTTTTCCGCTTTAACAGATTCTACCTTTTTGGGTTTTTCAACTGTTATAGAAAACTCGGACTCCACTTTCTTTTCATGTTCTACTTTTAGCGGTACCTCAGGCTCTATATTTTTAAATTTTTCTACTTTTAATGAACTCTCAAGGTCCTGTTGCGGCTCAATTTTAGTTAGCGTGGAAGCCCTCGCAAGCTCGCCGAAGTCCTGAGAGCGAGAGCTTCCTCTTACTCTAGATTTGCTATTCTTATTGCTATTGTCGCCTGCGACTTTATCACTATCTGACTTCGGGGTGGGAGATATCTTAACTCTAGATTCGACGGTCGGGTGAATATCACCCGACATCCTCGATTTTGGCAGTGTCTCGGGAGGTCTCTCGCTCTCTCGTTCGGCACTCGCCGATTCTCTAATATTCTGCCTAGCATGCATCTTCTCGCGTACCTCCTCGCTTACGCTAATATCTAAATTACAATGTTCCAGCTCGGAGAGAGCGGCGGGAATGACCACGGCGGTGGACAGGGGCTGCGCGTCGGGCGGCGTGTGCAGCGACTGCGGCGGCGCCACGCTCTGCACGGGGATGGTGGTGGTGAGCGGCAGCGCCCGCGCCGCGGCCTCGGGCCGGGCCGCCAGCGGCGCGGGCGCGCGCAGCACGGGCCGGAACGTGGCCTCGTCGCAGTTGGAGCTGGCGTACAGCTCCACGGGCTCGACGGGCGCGGTGGGGGCGGGCTGCACCACGCAGCCGAGCGGATCCACGGTCCACGCCCGCTCCGACTTCCGCGCATCCGTTGACCGCGCGATCGCCGCCCCTATACGAAACCGAAGGCAACCGTTACTGTGTGCGATACTGTCGGGGTGAGGGTTATTGCTCGAGCACTCTGCCTACGTTTTGTGCATCGTGAATTTCTATAATAAAGAGTAGGCAACGTGCTAGAGTGTCGATAGTTAGCGGGGGCCGAGAGAGGGTCGGTACGATGCCTTAGGCTTCGGTATAGGGCCGGCGGCGGTCTTACGCTCTGTGTGTGGCGCTCCCTCAGTGGCTTCTTGTGTGTCCATGTTTGCATACTCGATCCAAACTTGGCACTCCCGGCACGAGATTATGATGGATTAATGACTTAATGGAAATTATGACAAACATACCTCTTTCGCGCGACTCTATATATTATTATTTTTATTTTCAACACTTGAGATTTACTTAATCCATTGGTACCGTTTTCACAGAGTAACGTTTGTCACAACAGTTATATGATTTGTTACGTACCGTTACGTTCTCGTTATTGAACATAATAGCGAAGGTTAAAATCTTTATTAAACGTTAGTATTTGATTAATTAAGTCGTTAGCATATATAAAAAACGTATAGACAAGGCAATAAAAGTTAGCACCTGGCAAATGTCGTGTAATGGTATCATCATGTGACAAAGCTTTTTATCTAACATGTGTATGGGTAACGTCTATGTTGATGACAGATACCACAATTTTCGATTTTTTCTTACTAAGGTAATGCAATTCAAAGCTTTCGTATCAAATTAAAAATTAGTTTGAAACAAAACCTGCATTTTGTCATAGTTGGCTTTAAGCTAATTTTTTTTCCCGCCCCACATGTTCTCACCTTCGAAATGCAGTGCCTCTGACACTAATCATATTTGCAGTTCAATAGTTGAAGGACAAGATTTGTAAAAGATATTAGGTTGTATAAAATCCGCGGCTAAGTCTAAATGGTAAAATTCGCCAATCTATAATAACATTCAACAATTATTTGTGTTCATAGATCTTTTCTTCGACCTCTGCCGCAGATAATAGCTTTCGAATGACGATGAGATTAGCGAGGACATGCAATGCCTGCATGCATTTTTCTAAAACAGATAACCAAGTTAAATTTAATGTAAGTTTAGGGCTTGTACCCTAAACTGACATTAAATTTAACTTAGAGATGTTTGAATATTTGTGGGTTTTTTTATAAACATATGTTAAAATGTGATAAGTTGCCGATTTGACTATTTGATTTGAATAACTATTGTATTGTAAGTGATTTTTATTTAGGGACAGCTCAACTGAACCTTACAATACGGTAGTCAACTATCAGAACAGTTTCTATAAGCAGAGAGTTGTGTATAATAACGGTTAGTGATGTCATACTTCATCATCATCATCAGCCTATTACAGTCCACTGCTGGACATAGGCCTCTCCTATTGCACGCCACTTAGTCATACTTCGCTGTTGTAAAATTATGTGATTTCTATTTTGGTTTAATAATGAAAAATAAAAACGTTAAATTAGTACCGATTAAAATGTTTTCATATGTTTATGTGATATTTTAATTCCATGACAATTGTTGAATAATTTATTTTAATTACAAGGAACTGCCCTACTGTCCTCTTCATCAAAACATAGAAGTATGTTTTACAGAAAAGTGTGACTTCGTTTTCATGGCATTTATCATAAAACGTATCAGGATAATTTCTTTCATAAAAATAATGAACTCGTTCAATAGAACTAAGATAAAAATTGACATACCGTGATCCTCTTTCATGGCCTCGGCGAGATCTTCTCTAAGTTGCACGTCACACACGGAGGGGGCGCGCCCAGTTTCGGCCAGGAGAGACTTGCGACGGAAACTGTCTGACGGAGAGTGCTCCAAGGAACCTATGGGCATAGTACATACACTTTTAAATGCTTTATTTTATCTCTTAACTAATATTATTTGAACTATTATTGTAGATACTGTTCTTAGTATGGTGGGTCAACATTCGCACTGGACACCTGTAGGTTGTTATCGCATTTTTTTTAACCTATTACACTTTTAATATATCAAATACTACATGGATTTGGACAGGACTCGACGTGGTCATAGGCTGGCTACTAGGCACGCAATAGCTATGCAATGAAATGTATTTTGCTAGGTGTGTTTCAAAGTAAGTATAATCCTAGTGTTTAAGGATTCAGTTAAAGCTTCCTGAATTTAAATTCTTTGGATACTGACATCACTAATTTAAAAAAAAAAGTGTATTTTGCAAATACAAGGTACATCCTAAAACGATTAAAAGTAAAATAGAAAATTCAAGAGATTGTAGTAAAATAGAAAATGAAATGAGAATTAGTATTTTTAAAACAAATAAAAGGTTTTTTTGAGTTGGAGCAAGATTAGTAAGTGTAGTGCGTATACTGACTGGCCGAGCCGGAGTCGATGAGCACGGGCACGACGGGCCTGACGCCCGGCATGTTCACCGGGTTGGAGCGCGCCGGCCCGCCCGCGTCCACCTCCACCGTCTCCGCCTCCGACAGCGACGAGCTCGACCTGCACCCCACACACACCTTCATTCTTACTAACTATTTCATGTATATTATCTATGAATTTCATATCAATAAAAAAGTTAATCAAGTTTTAGATTATTTTAAATAATAATAATATGATTATAATTTCACACCGCTCAGAAACGGCCATCTGATCCCAAAAGGACGGCTGATAAAACTACTGTATTTATATTATAGATAAATTACACTAAGACTGTAATGACTATGATCATTACACAATTATTTGTCTTGGGTGGGAATCGAACCCGCGACCTCGGACTTAGCAGTCAGGGTCACTAACCCAACAGGTTAGCCAAAATGTTTATTTTTTAAACTATACGCTTTTTTCACAAATATCCAACTAGTTTCAGACCAAAGGAGAACTCTTCTTCATAAAGTAAAGCATTTAACTGCGACGGTGTCAGGCACCACACCACATCATCACACAGTCATAACTCGAAACTAGTCGAACATCCCCAAAGTACACATATGAGCAGAAACATGTTTCTTTGTTCAAACCTTTCAACACCGTGAGGGGTGTAAAAAACAATTTTTTACTGTCTACGTAAGACAAACATGATAATACATAATTTTGTAATATTTAAACATTTCTAGTTACCTAATTTCTGAAAGGTTTATAAATTATCTCAAAACAAACATATGTATTCAAAAGTATTAATTAATGTAAATAACATTAGAGGTCCAGCGGAAGTATACGTACCCGGTACAATTGTAAGTTTTAAAGACGAATTGTGGCCCCATCCACAGCCGTCGGTGTGGTCCAGCGTGCGTCACTATCTCGACTTGAGACAACCAACGCTCTTCCTCGCTCATACATATGTCGGGACATCTCTGTAGATAAAAGCATGTAAGGTATCTGTCTATTTATTAGTTCATACTTTTCAGTGGAAATAAAAAAATTAAGCCGTCGCGGTACGTCTAGCAGATGTGAAATATCGAAATTAATTTGTAGAAATAATAACTTGGGCATGGGCGAATCACATGTGACATAAACTATCACATAGCGTGGTGACGCGTCGCCAACTGCCGGTCTGACCCTTCGTATTAGATATTTTACGTCAAAAACTAATTTTACTACTGTATACATAACTATCATGTGGTAATTAATTAGAAACATAAAAGTGTATATTTTCGATTTCAATAGTTATAGATACGTAGTGTCGCAGTACGCACCCGACTTGTCTGCGGCTGCAGCAGCGGGTTGGAGGGGGGCAGCGGCGCCAGCAGGTCGGCGGCGGCGGCGGGGCGCTGCAGCGGCCACTGCGCCACGCTCGACACCTCCAGCTCGATGTTCGAATCGTCGCTGATCTTCTCCTTGGGTATGCCTACGGCGAAACGACATGTCAAATCACGAAACGAAATGAACATTATCATCAAGTAAATAATGAAGTATGTACTGACTGGACATCGGCTTAGGGTGCAGCAGCAGGTGCAGCAGCGCGCCGTTGGCCGCCATGAGGTAGAGCGAGGCCACGGGCGCGGGTGCGCGCGCGCAGCCCACGGGCGGCGGCCCGAAGCGCGCCCGCGCCAGCAGCGGCGCCGCGTTGCTGTCCTCCGACAGCGACGACAGCCGCTGCCGCCCTGTATCACAATGCACCTTTAATATCTATGTATATCACACCCTTTAGAGTTATGAAGTCACAAGTGTTCTAAAACTACTTTTTGCAAAATCATAAAATTATTATAATAATAGTACATTTTTGTGTACGCAACTCCATCTCACATTCAATTGATGCGATTTGAATTTTTTACATATTCCATTATTTTCATAGACACTTACAAGTTAAAATAACGATATCCCTAGAAGCGGACAAAATTAAGTTTTTTATCACAGCTATATATGCACTATGCACACATCACATCACATCAACAGCCTTTAATAGTCCCCTGCTGGACATAGGCCTCTCCTTAGAAAGGAGGTTTTGGCTTACTTTACCACGCTAGCCAGACGGGTTGGTATAGGGTTTGGGGTGCTGGGCTAGAAAACCTCCTCGTGGTGCACCCTGGAAACGCTGGCGATGGTACTGTTTCCTCCTTGTCCTCTTGGAGGAGAGGATTATCGCCAGCGGCCAATATTCTAGCAGAAGAGGCAGCCGTTCATCGGCTCTCGGGCAAGGCCTGGTCCAGCAGGGTGGGCGTGTCTGCCGGTTGCCCTGCTGGCTCTTCGCTCTTCGGAGCATGGAGGAGGAAACCTCGGTAAAAAACCTGATGGCGGGGCCCTGTAGGGGCCACAGTTTCTCCGCTGATAGCGGTGGAGAAAGGAGGACGGGCTCGGCGTGTACTCACACTACCACCGAGCAGGCAGGGGGACGTAGTCTCCCTGTCAACCGTCGGCATATCGTAATCCCGAGAAGAGCGCTGTGGTTAAGTCTCGCGGCTCTGATCGGGGACGAGGGTCTTGGCTTAACCGCCCGGACCGCGAGGAAGATAACCTCTCTAAAAAATTCCCCGAATCCCGTGTTCTGGTGCGTGGCCAGGGGATGCATGGCTGATGGGAAGTTCAGTCGCGAGCGCACTCCAAGCCGAGGTACCTGCGGACCCCTCGGTTGGGTTAAAAACTTACGCTTGCCCGGGTAATGGGGATCTCTGCCCGGGTGGACCTTTAGTTCTCCCCCACTCGTGGGATTATTATGGAAAATCTTAATTTAACCAAAAAGAAAACGATCGGAAAGAAAACACAACAGACAAAGGCAAGCCTAACGGACAAGGAGACGAAGAGCAGGAACAGTGGAGTGGATGGGTCGTCCACTGAGGGCGAGATGGTGTCGGGAACGCCTATCTCGATGGGGCTCCCAGAGGTCAGTCTGACTCTGGTCACTGGGAGCCGAAGAGCATCGGATCGGCTGCGTTCCGGATCCGCCGCTTCATCGGATGGCGCGGAGGCCATGGAAGCGGAGCGGAGCGACAGCCGGAAACGCGGACGCTCCAGGGAGGAGGGGACCGACACGTCCGGCGAAATGATGCCACCAAAGGTGGCAAGCAGCCGCCGAGGGAGGGCGCGTAAACCGGCCTCGGCCTCGGTCTCGACCCCGTCAGGCTCCGCGTTCTCAAACGCGGAGTCCTACAGGAGCGTACGAGTGGACGGCGAGGCCGTAGCGGAGGAGGAGATCGCGGATCTCCTGCTCAAGGTTCGGGAGCCGGTGGGGGGAAATGCCCCCCAGGCTCCCGTGTCCGTGCAGGAGAGGGCGAAAGCGGCGGTGGCCGTCATCGAAAAGGTGGCCACCAAATCCGTGAACCTTAAGGGCTCGTTTGTGAGGGCCCTTAAGGACTCCTCCTCCGCTTTGTCGGAGGTCGTGGAGGGCCTAGCGGGCGACGTCTCTCGCCTGCAGGTGGCCAACGAGAAGCTGACGGAGCGGGTGAACGAGCTGAGCGCTCAGTTCGCCCGCTTCCAGGCGAACCTCCCCGAGCGGGAAGCCCCGTCCGCGTCCCAGCCTGCCCCTACCACCAACTCAGGGGCATTTGACTCCCAACTGCGAGAAATCCTCATCGCAGTTGGGAATATGCTGGACGGACGCCTGGCTGGCCTGGAGGCGAGACTGCCTCCTGCGCCGATTATGCGCCCCCCGCTCGCGTCGGCACAGCGGCCTAAGGCCGCCGCTCCGACCGCGCTCCCCGTAGTGGGAGGCCGCGTCTCCTACGCGGCGGCGGCGTCTGCCCCGACTCCATCGGCTCCCCAAAAGTCGAGGAGGGGGGCCAAGGCACCGGCCCAGGCGCCGGCCAAGGCACCGGCTAAGGCGCCGGCCAAGGCACATCCCCAGGCGCCGGCCAAGACGGGGCCTAAAACGGCGCCGAGGAGCGGAGTGGCATTCCCTCCGCTCCCCACTCCGACACCCCTGCCGGGCCCCTCCGCACCTGCCCCCTCCAACGAGGGTTGGCAGGAGGCGAGGGGCTCCAAGAAGTCCCGAAGGCGGGCCAAAAAGGCTGCCAAAAAAGCAGCCCAAGCCCAGCCTTCGCCACCGGTGGCAACGGCCTCCACAAAGAGGCCGCGGAAGCTGCAGCCGCCCAAAACCGCGGCTGTAGTGGTGACCGTGTCCCCGGAGGCGGCGGACGGCGGGCTGTCCTACGCGGCCGTGTTTAAAAAGGCCCGGGACAGCCTCGCCAACGACTTTGGGACGGCGGGGGTGAAGATGCGCCTCGCCCAAACGGGAGCTCGAGTTCTCGAGTTCCCAGGGGCTGAAGGCGCCAAGACGGCGGACACTTTCGCTGAGAGGCTGCGGGGTCTATTCGCGACCACAGATGGTGTCAAGATCGCCAGGCCTACCAAGTGCGCGGAGCTGCGCATCTCGGGCCTGGACGACTCTGTGACGGCCGAAGATGTCCGCGCTGTAATCCGGGAGAAGACGGGGTGCAGCGCGGACAACGTCAGGGTCGGCACCATCCGCCCCGGTCCAGGAGGGCTTGGCGCCGTGTGGGTCAGCTGTCCCGTAGCGTCGGCCAAAGTATTGGCCGACGCCGGCAGGCTGCTCGTCGGTTTCGTGAGCGCCAGGATCACAGTCCTGGCGGCGAGACCGATGAGATGTTACAAATGCCTAGCATCGGGGCACACGCGCGTCAAGTGCCAAAGCTGCTTCGACTGCAGCGGACTTTGTTTCCGCTGTGGTCGACCGGGGCATGTGGCGGTGGAATGCTCTGCCGCCCCTCACTGCCCAGTGTGTGCGGCGGGTAACAAGCCCGCCAATCACCAGATGGGGCAGGGGGGCTGCAAGCCTCCCCGCATCTCTCAGCAAGCATCGGGGGGCTAGCCAGTCGACCCAGGCTGCCTCCGACGTAGTTCGTGCGTCGACGTCGTCGCCCATGGAGGAGGTTGTAGAGACGATCCAGTAATGGATCAAGTCTCCAACCTCCTGGTCCAGACGAACCTGAACCACTGTGCCGCGGCGCAGGATCTCTTCCTGCAAACCATGGCACAGTGGTCGATAGGTGTTGCCGTAGTCGCGGAGCCCTATTCTGTCCCTCCCCGTCCAAACTGGATGGGTGACTGGGACGGCTCCGTGGCAGTCGTCGGTTCCACGACGGCTCATTCCCCGCCCTTGTCGCTAAGAGACAAGGGCACTGGATATGTTGCCGTCGAGTGGGGGGGGATCACCATATATGGTGTCTATTTCTCCCCCAACCGGAGTTTGAACGACTTCGAGGTTTTCCTGACCAACTTGGAGACCTCGATACGGCGACTAGCGTCTGGGCACGTCCTTGTGCTGGGGGACTTCAACGCAAAGTCCATTGCGTGGGGTTCCCCCAGGACGGACGCCAGGGGCGAGGCCGTAGAGGAGTGGGCGGCCTCGGTGGGCCTCTGTCTTCTCAACAGAGGCTCCACCAACACGTGCGTGCGACAGCAGGGGGGGTCGATAGTGGACCTTTCGTTCGCTACCCCTGTCCTCGCCGCACGAGTAAGGAACTGGTGTGTCCTGGAAGAGGTTGAGACGCTCTCGGATCACCTGTATATCCGATTTGAGCTCTCCCGGACCCAGGACTCCAGTAGGGGTCACGTGGCGCGGCGTTTATCCCGCTTTCCGCGGTGGGCTGTTGCCAAGCTGAACCGGGACCTACTAGAGGAGGCAGCCATAATTCACTCGTGGCTGTCTCCTCAGGCTCCGACCGAGGAGGTCGACGTGGGGGCTGGCCGCTTTCGCGATGCGATTACGCATGTATGCGATGCGGCCATGCCCCGCGTTCGAGGTCGTCGGCCTCCAAGGAAGGAGGTCTACTGGTGGTCCCAGGAGCTGGCGGACCTCCGTGCGGCCTGTACACGTGCCCGGAGGTCCTACACGCGCAGTCGGCGGCGTCACCGTGGAGACGGTGAGGAGGACCGGCTTCATGAGGAGTACCGACGGGCGCGGAAAACTCTGAAGCTGGCCATTAGCCGCGCCAAAGAGGAAAAAAGACAGGAGATGCTGGAGGGTCTTAATCGTGACCCCTGGGGTCGCCCTTACCGCGCGGTGCGACAAAAGCTCCGCGCGTCGGGCCCCCCCCTTACGGAGACTCTCCAGCCCAGCTTCCTGCGAGAAGTGGTTGAGGGCCTTTTCCCACAACGGGCGGAACACACTCCCCCGTCGATGGCCTCCCTGGCCGGAGACGACGGGGAGCACGGGGAGGACAATGTTCCGCCCGTCCGGGAATCGGAGGTAGGGGCGGCTGTTCTACGGATCCGTTCCAAGAACACCGCCCCTGGGCCAGACGGGGGTACCGGCCCGAGTGCTGGCCCTGGCCCTCAACCACATGGCAGACCGCCTCGGGGAGGTGTTCGACGCTAGCTTGGCGTCGGGACGCTTCCCTGAGTGCTGGAAGAGCGGGAAGCTGGTCCTATTGACGAAGCCGGGACGGCCTGCCGATTCGGTCGCGGCCTATAGGCCCATCGTGCTGCTGGACGAGGCGGGCAAATTGTTTGAGAGGGTTCTTTCTGCCCGCATCGTCCGGCACCTCTGCGAGGTGGGCCCCGATCTGTCGGACGCCCAATTTGGTTTTCGGGCGGGGCGTTCGACGGTCGACGCCGTGTTGCGCCTGAGGGCCGTGACCGAAGAGGCCGTGAGCTGTGGCGGCGTGCTGTTGGCGGTGTCATTGGACATCGCCAACGCATTCAATAGTCTGCCATTCAGCTGCATCAGGGAAGCACTCCACTATCATGGGGTGCCAAAGTACCTGAGGCGGCTGGTGGCAGACTATTTAGAGGAGCGTACCGTCGTGTACGAGGACCGAGAAGGTAATTTGAGGAGTCGGCCCATGTCGTGCGGTGTTCCACAGGGGTCTGTTCTTGGACCCCTCTTGTGGAACATAGGGTACGACTGGGCCCTTCGCGCCGATTTCCCCCCCGGGCTGGGTGTAATCTGTTACGCAGACGATACCCTCGTGACAGCCCGGGGGGCAAACTTCCAAGAGGCGGCGCGCCTGGCCACAGGGGGAGTCTCCCTGGTGGTCGGGCGCATTGAGGCGCTGGGCTTACGGGTGGCCCTAGATAAGACGGAGGCCCTGTTATTCCATGGGCCCCGTCGTGGTCCACCCCCTGGCGCCTCAATCGTGGTCAACTCGGTCCTCGTACCGGTTCGGGCCCAGATGAAATATCTGGGCCTGATCCTCGACGGGAGGTGGCTCTTCGACGAGCACTTCCGACAGCTTGCTCCAAAGCTGGTCGGCGCTGCGTCTGCCCTAGGGCGACTCTTGCCCAATATGGGTGGACCCAGCGTCGCGACAAGACGGCTGTACACGGGGGTTGTCCGGTCAATGGCGCTGTACGGTGCACCGGTGTGGCCGGCGGCTCTGACCGCCCAGAATAGGGTACGCCTCTGGCGCCCTCAGAGGGTAATGGCGGTCAGAGCCATACGCGGTTACCGCACCGTTTCTACGGAGGTGGCATGCGCGTTGGCCGGAACTCCCCCGTGGGATTTGGAGGCGGAAGTGCTCGCCGAAGTTTATCGGCGAGTGGCTGACTTCCGGGCGGAGAGCGGATTTCGCCCTCCGCCCGAGGATGTGCGCGAGTGGCGCGAAGCCGCTCGCCGAGCCACGATGGCTCGTTGGTCGTTCCGGCTGGAGACTCCACGCGCTGGCTTCGCCGCCGTGGAGGCTCTCCAGCCGGTCATCGCCGAGTGGGCAGGGCGGCAGCACGGGACCCTTTCCTTCCGACTGACGCAGGTGCTTTCCGGGCACGGTTGCTTCGGAAAGTACCTGCACACGGTCGCTAGGAGGGAACTGAGTCCCGCCTGCCACCACTGCGACTGCAGTGAGGACTCGGCCCAGCACACGCTGGCGGTCTGCCCCGCATGGGCGGCGCAGCGCCGGGCCCTCACTGCAGTCATCGGAGTGGATCTCTCGCTACCGGCCGTAGTACGCTCCATGGCCGGTAGCGACAGTTGTTTTACCGCGGTCGCTACCTTCTGCGAGGTAGTAATCTCGCGGAAGGAGGCGGCGGAGAGGGCCCGGGAGGACGACCTCCACTCGGACCCGATCCGCCGCCGGCGAACCGGGCGGCGGAGGCCCGCCTACCACAGCCTCATGCCGCCCTGAGTGTGGCCGCGGGTGGACGGGGTGGGTTTCCCCTCCACCCGCATTAGTTTGGCCAGCCGCGAGGGGGCGGCGTCCGCGTGTGCCGGACGTCGCCTATAAAGAGAGGAAAAACATCGAGACGGAGCCCGCACCAGGAGCGGGCTGGCGCTAGGAGGGGTCCGGATGTCTTAACAACAGCTGTTCCCGGATCCCTCCTGTTACAGGCGCAGAGTGGCACACCGTGTGGTTTTAGTCGGTCCGAGTCCGACACACCACCCCGCCGCAAACCCCGGAGGGGTGACGGTCCGAGGGGATTTCCACACGTTAAAAAAAAAAAAAAAAAAAAAAGGGTTTGTGTCAAGTTTTCCTTCTTTTTGCAGTGCTGGTGTCCTGCGTTGTTTTGCGCCCTTAGTCGCCTCTTACGACACCCACGGGATGAATTGGGGTAGTGACATTCCGACGTGACTTAAGGCAAAATAAAATGCACACTATTATTGAAGTATAACTTGCGTGATGAAATCTCATCTGATTCTAATCTTCATCTGATGAAATCTCTGTTTGAACTAAAATGAAAATGAATGAAAATAGAAAGGATATAGGTCTTTATTTTTGTTTAACAAATATTTTCCTTTTAAAATTATTACGGTAAAAGAAGAGCTTAACTTCCATCAAAACACTTTCTTAAATAAAGCTGGTCCTGGTAGTTATGGTAGTCGTTTCTTCTTCGTCGTCATCTCATTTACTGTGTCATACATATTAGAGAATACATAACTACAAGAAAATAATATTGATGAAGAGAGAAAGCAAAAAATATTAAATTATTATTTAAAAGAACAAAGTTCCCTATTAAATTATCCGGAAATGCACTCGTCTTCGTAAAGTATGAGTAAAATGATCACGAGAAGCGATAATATCGGTGAGCCAATCACTGGGCGTCTTTATAATTGAACTACCTCTCGCCCTACTTCATACTACCTAAGGGACTCAAAAATCGCGCAAGTGAAGATCAGCGCTCGAGATCGGTGACGTAACTATACTAAATATCGGTAATTTCACTGTAGACAATTTCACAACCCTATTTTATTTTATTTGCTTACCCGAGCTAGTCCTAGTGATGGTGTGTGTAGGAATATTGGCGGTAGGACGCAACTGTGCGAGCGGTGACACAGTAGTGGGCAACGGGTACGGCGGTAGCCGTGGGTTAGGGTACCACGCGCCCTGAGCCATGCTGTCCGCAACCTGAGGAAATCACATGTGTTTTTGAACAAAGTCAGTAGAGAACGAGCGACTCAATAAAAAGTGTTCGGGTGTGCCCCTGTGTGTACTGACCGCGCTGGGCGAGGCGCGCTTGGCGGCGGCGTGTATGGGCAGGCCGGCGGAGCGGTGGAAGCGCGACAGGCGGTTGACGACGCGCGGCGCCGTGTGCGTGCGCACGCCGCACACGCCGCCGTACGGGCTGATGGCGAACACGTGCGTCGTGCCGCGCAGCGTCGACACCGCCGCCCAGCGGGAGTCGCACGATATCGCCATGTCCTGCCGAACGAACGTATCGACTTTAGTTTATAAAATTATTGGCCTCATCGACAGCCTTTACTAGGCCACTTCTGGACGTAGGCCTCTCCTTAAAAAGGAGGTTTTAGCCTACTGTACTACGCTGGCCAGATGGGTTGGTACAAGGTTTGTTTTTAGTTTTCCTTCTCTTTTCTTACTCCCTTAGTCGGCTCTTACGACACCCGCCAGATGAATAGGGGCGGTGACACTGTATTCTTAATCCGTCACTACATGGATTATTACGGAAAATTAATGGCCTCGGTACATGAAATTTTTTTGCTATCGATCCAAAAAGAAATTGTTATCTGTGTGTATAGATGGGTTAATAATACGAAGTGTCACCACCCCTATTCCTCCTGTGAGTGTCGTAAGAACCGACTAATGGAGCGAACTACGAAGGACAAGCACTACAAAGAGAAAGAAAACTTCACAACCTATACTGACTCGTCTGGCCAGCGTGGTATAGTAGGCCAAAACCTCTTTTCTAAGGAGAGGCCTATGTCCAGCACTAGTAAAGGCTGTTGATTTGACGTGTGATAAAGAAAAATGTATATTGTAGAAAAAATATAGGTAAATATTTAGGTTAACTAATGCTTTCAAAAATAAATATTAACTAAGCTTATATGTACATGGACTACAGACCTGCACTTTGGCCGTGGTGTCACCCCTGTGCAGTATGTAGAGATGATGCACAGAGGCGAGGCTGGGCCCGAAAGGGTGTGGGTTGATCCTAAACACGTGGAAATCGTGGCCTCGTCTGTCGGCCGTCACCAACAACATGCCGCTCGCGTCGAACTTCAAGGCTATAATCGCTTCAGAGTGTGCTACGAAATGAGCCACAATCGGATCGAATGGCTCTTCGTTATCTTGGCCGTCTTCTTCCTCATTACCCTAAAAGATTAAGGATTATTGGTTTAGATCATTTATTATGTCTAGATAGAGTTTCGCACTATAAAACCACTAATCAAAAGGGCTAACTTATTATGATGGTGTGCGTGCAAATCTATGCCGGTGTGCGGGTACGAGTATATAGAGAATCGAGACATAAACAACACACATAGTTATGGTAAAGACAAAGGTGTTTTTTTTTTTATTTAACAATAACTTTAAATTTTGAAGTAATTTGGTTTTAAGTTTAATGAATATAAAAATATTGCAAAATCTTGGGAAAAATCTCGGCTACAAGAAACTTTTTTCTTTAATTCTTTCTATTTTCTTTATAATTAAACACATACCTTATTTAAGATATTAATCTATTTTAATTGAGTAGAATACTTCTATTGTGTCAAGAAAGCACAAAGTTCTAAGCACTGGTCTTGGACTGGTCATCTCCTCTGCTTAACTTACCTCAATATCCAGTATAGTGATAACTCCCGGCTGTTGTATATCGGTATTTGGAGGTGAAGGAGACTGTGAGGTACTGCGGCCACCTGCTAGACTATGTGCCACACTCTCGCCCAGTCCTCGGAGACCTTTGCTTAGGGATTTCGCAGCATGCAGCACGGTAGCCGTATAGCTGGTCACGCCTTCACCTGCAAAATATAAATGATAAGTTATAAATATTTACTATTTTTACAAAGTAATTGCTTGTCTAATGGCGGACATAGGGGACTTCAATTTTCCGGTGACGCTATGATTTGATAATAATGAATAAAAAAACATTTTATCGTAAAAAGCGTCAAGATGTTAATTATTGTAAATATTATAATGACAAAAGATATCGGTAAAAGTAAAGTTATTACATTGTAAAATATCTTATAGAGCACATCACGCTTTTTTACGATATAATGATATTTTTCTAAATCAGTAGGTTTCTTTTTGAACTTATAGAAAAAATATTTTCTACTTTTTAGTTGGGCTAGACACAAAGGCGTGTTTTTTAAACTATTCATTTTTGCTTTTCGTCTTTAATGATGGTTATTTTCTCATAATAGATTAAAAAAGTTACAAGTAAGTAACTCCATAGACTTAGGCGTGTACTGAAGCCATACGTCGCACAAAACACTACCATATTTTTAAATATTGAATATCATTAATTCTGCAGATCCTCATCAGGATAATCGGACAAATTTATTAAATAACTGTGTTATCGTCGGTTCATGACAAGTGTGCAAAATTTCATCATTTAAATCTAACCTTTTAAAGTGGTTAAAAATCTAGTTAAAAAAATCCGGTGCATACATACACATCGCACCTTTATTCATAAACTGAATTAACTTAGAATTTCAATATTGTGGGAAATCGCATTTAAAGTTTGACATTTGTACGTGCGAGTTCGTCAAATAGAGAACGACGATCTCCTTATCTCTGCCATTTTCATGGTATCGAGTCGCCTGTTGGATTGTTCGTGTTCTACTGATGAAGTTGATTTGGTATTTGTTAAAACCTCGAAAAACGTAAATTTTGAATTAATTCAGTTTATTATTAAAGGTGCGACATGTATGTAACGGATTTTTGAACTCGATTTTTACATTCATACATGTGTGTTTAAAGTGGTAGTTTCGGCGGCATTGACATTTAACCAACAGACAAAATACGGAAAGTACAAAAGTGATTACTGTAATTTATCCAGTATTTACGAATGATAAAAAAATACAGAAATAAAAATATAAAATATCTTATGCTGCGCACACATGCTCAATTGGTTAGTCACGCACTGCCTGTAAAATACAATGATATGCATTGACTAAGGTCAACAAAATTTACATTACAACATAACTACTATGTTAATAAGTCAATACCCGTTAATAGACAAAGGAGTTAATTGCTGTTTATTTATGATAAACCGTCGATTGTTTTTGTGTACATCGATATTAATAATAAGATATTTTTTAATATTTCAATCGCGCGCGTTTTTTGTTACAAACATTTTTGCTTGATTTCAATATGCTTAGTTTTAAAGCATAAGTACTGAAATCTATCTTTGGTCTATTAATTAGTTTAGTCTATCCAGTCTATTTTTATTTTTGACTCCCGCGCTATGAATATTTCATGTGTCGAGGGGGTCTTTACAGACATACATGAAACGAACACAAAGAACACTATTATATATGTATATAAGGTCATGTTGGTAGACATTTCACTGTTGAACTACCGTAGTACAACAAACAAAACCATTGGTCATTGTGGCTTAAGGTATCAAAGACCGTTAACGGTTTGGTGAGAGTTACGCAGTCAAGGAATTCTGATAAAAATATTGTGTCAGGTCAGGCTTATACGACTACTATATCATGTTAAAAGCAAAGAGTCAGAACAGATGAGAAACCTTTCTCGTCTCTAATTAAATCAATTATGGTCGACTACCAGTAACAATCATTGTTCGATTAGACGCAGCAAATGTTTTCTACGGCAAAAGCGCAGTAGTTGCGTTTAAAGTTTCGCGCAACAAAAAAACGTCTCTAATAAACCCCCTTACTTATACTAGCCCGTCGACTTATAGTCAGACACAAATATTTGAGGAGATTTTTCTAATAATGAAATACCTATAAGTACTTGAAAAATAGCACTATTTAAACCATTTAAAATTACAATTTTAACGTATTTAAATAGGGTTTCTGAAATGGCAATTAATTTAAGAGAAGTAATCTTCATAAATGTACATAGCCGTTGGATGTGGGGAGCACAGAACCGGTCTTAAGGGGGGTCTATGTCCAGCAGTGAACGTCTTTCGGCTGAGGTGATGATGATGAATGTACATTAATCTTAGAAAACCAAAAGCCAAAACTGTCAAACAACCTTCTTACAAATAGTTAAGTTTATACATAGCACAATATTATGTGCCTAATCTTATTTCACTTGTTGTTTACGGTTGAACGAAATACGTGCTGTTGCTGATATATTATTTTTAGAGTATTAAAGAGGCATGTTATGTTTTATGCAACCAGCTTGATGCATAAATCCTTTTGTAGAAAGTGGACAACATTACCACTTCCTTAACTTAGAAGTACCCTCTCCAGAGTTCATATGGTTAGCAACCAACTGGTAAGACTAATGCGCCACGTTAACAACTTTCCAACAAATGAAACGTAAGCCAGTTCAATACAACTTCGCTTGTACAAAGAAGGCACCTGTTCAAACAATTTGTTAAAATGTGTATTTCCCGCAAATAATCAGTTCCCCGCTGCTAAGAACAACTCTTACATGGTTCTTATAAACCTAATCAAAGAAACTTTACGCATTTAAAAGCTTTTTTTCAATCCGACTTGTAGTTCTCAAGATTAGTTTGATTAGCAAACAAAGTTTCAACTGTATTATATTAGTTTAAAAATAATGATTGGGAACCTCACCTTCACACCCCCCACTGCTCCTCTTTGATTGATTGAGCTTCTTGTCAGCATATGCCAGCCATCTGTCGCCCAAGGCGAGGGGGTTTACGGGCAAGCTGCCGCCTAAAGGACACGGGCACGGGTAGCAAGTAGTGACGGACATGCGATCTTCGAGCGTAGCTGCATCGAAGACTGCGAAACGCTCCGAGAAAGAGATTACCACGGAACGCTTGTTAGCCAACACATCGAGTATTGGATTCTTAAACTTTATGCTTTTCACCTGTTGAAGAAAATATTCGATTAGTTAAGAAGCTGGTTTAGTAAGTAGGATGGCATTTTTACGGTGCCTTCGACTTACAGATTATAAGGATGTATATCTTTCTCATTGTTTCTGTCTGACCTCTCAATAATTTTCCCTTACTTTACATATCAATCTCTAGTGCACCTAGTAAAACATTTCAGCAGCACCTTAAGGTAGACTGAGAGAAAATGCCTGTGGCATTAAGTCCGCCATTGTACAACTCATGCTTGTGCATAAAGTATTAAAATAAATAAAAATATTTAATAAAAACGCCCATTCATTTCATATTCTAATTTTAATGGCAAAATTAACCTGAGGTGACTTAGTTTATTAATAGCAATGGGTAATGTACTATTACTGCTTCGCATTATAAACTGTTAAAACATAATCTAGTAACTCAGGTCCGAAATTCATATTCAATTCTAAGGCTCAACCCCTTTGAAATGGGCGGTTGTAGATCGGCACAGGCATATAAGACATTTTCGATAAGTAAATATTTGGTTTGCTATATATTTGAAATAAACAGAGATTGTTGCTATTGTGTGTGTTGATCTATGACTTTAGAGTATATACAAGTGACGATTTCTAAATAAAGATATTTGAATTTGAGTGTGAGGGTGCAAGCGATTACGAGAGACCTTTGTCCAGACGCTGACTGAATTACTGACTTCTTTTGCGCCATCCATATAACAAAAACTGCAACTTTAGTAAACTCATGGCAGACTAGACGTTTATAAACTAGGCAAATTGCAGTAATTACTATTGTAGTATTAAAAGATACATACAATTATCGTGGTTGTTAGTAAACAGACCAATATGTAAAATTAAAATTAATCGCACCATATTGACACGCCTCCATCACGAGTTGACGTCACAAAATAACGATTAAACATTATTCAGCTGTCAGTGATAAAAACATATAGATAGTTTTGTCATCCGAGTTATCAGTACGTGTACGTCGTTCATTATCTATGACAATTAGGGTTCATACTTAATTAGCGATAGGTATAACACTTCTATACATATATTTATATGCATTTTACTGTTTTGTTATTGCTGCACAGTATACATACAATATTCTCTATAGTCGCATAGTTCATTAATTTTTTTCCAAACAATATTGGTTAACTAGATTATCTGCTTCCTATGTTTAATGAAATGTTTATGAAATAAACATTAAATTTCCATTCCTTAGTCGTCTATTTTGTTGGGTGTCGGTCTTTGCAAGCCTATCTATATGTACCTATATGTATTTTGTTGTTATTTCTTAGGATCTTATTTGTAGTTGATTATTTCTGTAGGAAAGAAGGTTCAATCGCACGTGTCTAATTCTAAAAGTATCATATAAATAGGGACGCTCGGAAATTAAAACAATGTAGTTCGTAATACTATGCTAAATATATTTTTCCGACGGACCTGTTGGTCTAGTGGTTAGTCACCCTGACTGCTAACTCCGGTTTAGCAGTCAGGGTCATGGGTTCGATTCCCACAACTCAAATATGTAATGAGCACGGTCATTTTTTCTGTGTCTTGGGGTAATTTATCTATAATATGTGTGTGTGTATTTAGAAATATACAAGTATGTTTTTCAGTAGGTTACCATAACACAGACTCTGCGTAGTTTGGGACCACACTACCGTGTGGGAGATGTGTGAAGTTATTATATTAGTATTCTACATAACTATGTTTCTTTTTTATGGAACAGGGGACAAACGAGCAGACGGGTCACCTGATGGTAAGTGACTACCGCCGCCAACGGACACCTGCAACTGAACAGTCACAAGTGCGTTACCGCCCTTTCAGTAGCCCTCCCCCCAGAAGCAGAGGGCGGGGGTTAGGTTAGGCTCTAGTAACCTAACAACAGCTGTTCCCGGATCCCTCCTGTTACAGGCGCAGAGTGGCACACCGTGTGGTTTTAGTCGGTCCGAGTCCGACACACCACCCCGCCGCAAACCCCGGAGGGGTGACGGTCCGAGGGGATTTCCACACGTTAAAAAAAAAAAAAAAAAAGGCTCTAGTAACCTAAATTACTTGATGAAAAGCAATGAATTTTATGGCTTAACAATGGTCAACTAAACTCCGGTCGACCCGTAGTAAACATGGTTTACTGAAGCATGTGTCTTCCATGGCAGTTATATGGTAGTCCCTTATATATATCCGTGTGGTGATGGATTTAGAATACGGAGTGTCACTACCCCTATTCATCCGGTGGGTGTCGTAAGAGTCGACTAAGCGAGCCAAGCAAACTACGCAGGACAACAGCACTGCAAAGAAAAGAAAAACTTGACACAAATCCTATACCAGCAAGTATGGCCAGTATGGTATAGTAGGCCAAAACTTTTTCTAAGGAGAGGCCTATGTCCAGCAGTGGACTATTAAAGGCTGTTGATGTGATGTGATATGTTCCCCCTCTTCATTCAATAAAACATAGCTACAATTGTAAGTTAATAAATAATAGGTCACAATCACAACCCTATTACCACGTGACTGTAAATAGTGCTGTTATATAGTATAGATGTAGTGTTTTGTCTACCTACTTAGATAACATGAAAACTAACTAGACACGTGTACCATCTCTGAACATCCCTCCTTTGTGCTCACTTTTTATTATTATTTCGTTATCTAAATGAAATCCGAGTGCGTTTAAAATGTATTGTTATTGATCGGTAATTAGTTTGTGACGTAAATAATTATTTTATTTTTGATGAATGGCCGATCTTATAAGCAAATAACATATTATTATACCACCAGTACATCACCTACGCACTATTTAAATACGCTACGCAAATTTACTAATTATAAGTTTGTTGGGTATACCAGCTAATAACTTTATATCAGGCATAAAAATAGTTTATTTTATTGACGGACGGTATGGGAAAAGAAAATTATTTGAAGGATAGCAGATCAATAAAAAAATATTTACAATCGAATATAGACAAGCACTTACTATGAGTAACATATGATTTATATACATCATTATCATATTAATAATTCTAATCATTAATTATTACTAAATTTACATTTTTAGTTAGTGATAACCTTACCGAAATTTAAATACAATTTAAAAGATAAAAGTTTACTGACCTGTTCACCACCTCTAATTGAAATAAAACTAAGCGAGCAGAATGTAGGTCCAGGACTTGCAGAGTCGCACAAGGCGATGAGGGGCCTCTTCGATGCAAAGCAGTCGCCGTGCTGCGGTGTAGGCAGTATACGGAGCACCCTCACTGTGCCTTGTCGCCATGACAACACTTCTTGCGCCTCTCCTGAGGGAGGAATCAGCCAGCATTGGACCCCAGCACCATAGCCCAAGATTAGGAGTAAAGGTGATAGGTCACTATCGCTGTCTCCTTCTGGTCTTGGTTCGTTTATATCTGCTGACTCAAACCTGGCAAAAGAGTTATGAAGTTAAAACCATAGGTACATTTTCTAAAGATTCTCTTTCTTGTAGTAATGAATTTAAATGAAAGTTAATGACTTTTGTTATTAATTGAATTAGTGCACCATTAGTAAAACATAATAAGGGTCAGTCTTTGTGGTTTTTATTCTGGCTAGCCGCCTGTCTGGCGTTATTGGTAATGTAATTGTTTCCAGATAGGACACCCAAAGAAGGTAAATCAAGACAAAGGAAGTAGACAGATAGATAGGATGATAAGGCAAACAGGAATTGACAGCTGGGTAATGGGACACAGACTCCAGTGCCTTGAAGAGGCCAGGCCGTGGTACACGACTTAATGGTCGTGTTACCAATAATAATAACCATCACAAAATTATTTGTCATGGGTGGGAATCGAACTCACGACCTGGCTTTGCAATCAGGATCACTAACCACTAGACCAACAGGCCTGTCAATCACAAGGTTTCCCTGTGGTTGGAAAGAGTTCACTGACCAACTCATGACTGATTTGATGATTTTCATTACTGCACTTTCTTTTAGTCAACGTCTGCCTACCCTTATCTCAATTTTATTTGTGATTGGCGGCACTTTCCTTTAGTGTAAAACGATTATAAAAATGTAGTATTACAATATGTGGTATTATAATAACAATAAAACTGTGTTAGATTTTTTAATAAATATCAAAGCAATTTGAAACTAATACACTGCTATTAAACTTCTATAATTATGTTATTATTAATGTGTATCATATTTTTAACATGTAAACAATTTAAATATCATTAAACTGATGCATATACACAAAAAAAAACTAATTATTCTTTATCCAATGCAATTTATATGAATAAAGTATTACATGCATTTAATAGTTATAATATTTAAATAATCATAACAGCGGAAGTCAGTCAACCAGTGAGTATAGTAAAATTCTAACCTACTATCATTTTGTTATTCGGAAATGGATTGTGCATTTGTACTTAAACACAACCAATTTAAAGCAATGATATCTAAAACTCTATAATTATAGTGTAGAGACAAAGACCTATTACAATATAAGAGTAAATTATTTACATAATATAGTTTAAAACTAGATGGAATTATTACTATATAAAGATAAATATACCCACATTATTTTATTAAACTGCTTTTAATTGTATTTTCTACATAAATATACCTATGCGTCCCTTTCTAGAAAAGTATTACTGATATAATATGTGTTGTTTGGTTATAGTTTATTATGGAATTGAATAACTAATTTCTTCTTTAATATACTTATTTTCTCTAAAAAAAACTACCTACTACACTATGAATCCCCAATTTAATATTATAACATATTTAGTGTAGTTTATCTTAACATGGAGGCAAAATTCACTATTCTTAATCCTTTGTTAGTTTGACTAATCAAATTTAAGATACTTCATGGCTTCATGGAATCAATCAATGGCTAAATAAATAAGTTTAAGTAATGCTTGGAAACAAAGGTTAGATCTGAATCTTAACAGTTCAAGAATAAATGTTGTACCATGTTGTTTTGTTGTACCAAAGTTTTATTGAGGAATAATATAAGCTATTTATTGGACAGCATGATGTTTTATCTGTGAATCTGTTGAATATGGCCAGTCCTAAATAAACTTGTTGACTCTAAGATACCTGAGCTCTTACCTCGCCCATTGAATCACGTCTTTGGGGTCGACGGTGGAGGAGGACGAGAGTGTTACGTCATTAATAAACCCAGAGACAGCGTCGATAATGCTGCGGTCACTTGGGGGTTGAGACGGCACGATAAGCGGCCCGCCCGACCGCACGTGCCGCGGCGACTCTGCAGACATGCTGTGTGAATCGTCACCTGTAATCCAAAGATAAATTGTTGTATGTAAATAGGTGTTAAATACAAACAAAACAGTTTTCAAGTGGTAATTTAGATACCTGTGTATCTAACCTAAAAAAGCAGATATAGTTTTGAATATCTGTTTCACCATCAAAACAAGGGCTCGCCATCCTGTCAAACTATGTGTAGTGCCAAGTAAAACAGCGCTGATGCACAAAAGCTTTTTCTGTACTGCACCACACATATATAACTACCAAAACATTTAAGGAAGTAATATTGAAAGTACACAACTATTCAAAGGGCATCTTCAAAAACTGCTTATAGTTAAATGTTATTGCTTGCTTCAAGAGTTCTTAGAAGAAATGCAGTTTTAATTTACATAGAAGACTGATAAATTTGTATTTTTTTTTGTTGTGCTAGGACATCTTATCATTTTATTGTAATTGTATGACATTATATCATTTTATTTTATGACTGTATGACATTATGTTATTATTATTGCTTGACATTAATTGAATTCTAAACACTTATTTTGGCTATCCAACATTATGTATTGATTTATTGGTATTTTAAAATATGTAGTATTCTCTCTCGCTTTTTTTTTTTTGTATGCCTTATGGTTGAATATGGTGAAAGAACAATTATTGTATTTAGCTTATAAGATCTGCAAATGTATACCCATATTTGTTTTGTATCTATTCACATATCGTAAGACAAAAACCCTTATGAAATCAAGTTGAAGGAACTTCTCCTGATGTCTTTTTTTCAATTGACAGGCATTGTGTATTGTGCATCTACAAAGCATGGATGCTATGTGGAGCATTATGAAATGGTTGTGATAATCCTCAACTGTACCATGTCTTACCCTCTGACATGTATTCTATACATTATATATATATCTATATTTTTTCAACCATATGATCAACACCTTCCATTTTATACTCACTAAAACAGAACACTTAGACATTTGTCTTATGTTTTTGGGAGAACCATTTGACAGTAGATACTAGTTGAAGAAGTCCATATGAACACATCACAATTAAAAAACATAAAAATTACGCTAACCAAAGCTAAACAATACTTTACCACAATCATATTCTAAATCATCTATATCAGCATTTTTACTTTGTTCGTCCATGTTTTTTTTTAAATATTTAGAACAATAACCTTTCGTTAATTTTAATTGATTATATTTAAGAAATACCCTCAAATATGAAGAAATGAATGACAGTTTCAGAAACCATAGTTATTAAAGAAAAAGGTTTTTTTTTTGTTTTACTTAGTGCAATGTGGATACAATAATAATCTCAAAAACATACCAATGAATTAAATTTGTTGTAGCATGAATTACTAAAGTTTTCAAATAAAGTTATATATGGTAGTTATCACCCCTAATTATAATTGTAAACTGATTAAAATCATTTACAATTTTTTTTTTAAATTTAATATACTAAATAATCTATACATCTATTTATTTATTTTTTATATGTCTACATTCTACTATTAAAATCTAATGATTATTTATTTAAAGACACAAACAAAAAATATTGCACTCACTCAATGCAATAACAAAGGTTTTTGATGCAACAGTTAAAGAAACAGTGTAAAGTAAAAAAAAAAGTAAAAAAATAATAAAATCGAAATAATAGTAATCCACTCTTCACCCTTCTAACGAGGTTTTTCGAAAATTAATAAATAAAGTACCTATGTGTTTAAATTGTGACCATTTTAGTTCTATCTTCTTTTAGTAAAAAAGTACATAAATCACAAAAAATCAAAGTGATGCTTAACTCTTGATCTAAATTTAATGACAATTTCCGAAAATATTTTCAATAATTTGTTAAAAGAAAAAAAATCTTTAAAAAAATTAAGAGAAATCCTGTCTTAAATCCACATTATATAATTAATACAACATCAGAAAACACACACATCACCTTATAAATAGTCAGTTTTAAGATAAAAGTACAAAATTGTTTACTTTTCTCGAAACAGCTGGTTGCACTACACAATCTAAACTACTAACTGGGTATAATTATCTGCACTTCACATAAAAGGGGACCGAGGACAAAGGAAATCGATGAGGTTCAACTACTGGCTTACAAAAGCGTATCTCATATTATCTATGCGTACTATGAACTAAATATGCGTCTTACATAATATACTCACCTTGTTTACGAAAACAATTCTCATTTTAATCCATTTTCGAGTAAAAAGTTATTGCGTCGTATTGGCAGTGGAAAACAATGACGTCACACAAATAAATACAAATTCTTAAACAGACATAACTCAGTCGCACACCTTAAATAATATTTCATCAATATAATCTCTCATCAACTAAATAAATCAAAAATAAATTAGATTTTATGTACAAAATATACAACAATTTACGAAACAGATGATTTGAATGACAATACCTAAACGCCCACTTGTTTGTATTGTGACTGTGTGTCAGTAAGACATACATGTATTTGAACACAATAGCACACGTAGACGAAATGAGCGTGTGTGTAAAAACACCACGCTATTTCTTTAATCGTAGAGCAGTCAAATTTTGCATTTCTGCCTATTTTCATGCACATGGTTAATATTAAAGCTTATTTACCTACAGGGTTAATGTTTCTCACACTTGATTTTTTAAGGTAGACACCATTTCCTATGTTAAGGTCAACTAACTGATTAAAGAAAATAAAGCTCTAATAAACAAAAACAATATTAAGAATGAGTAGAGAATGGTACCTTACATGTTCCTATCATTTATATACTCTATGGCTACTTGGATCACGGTAACGTTCCGTTTCTTACAGCATCACAGATATTGATTAATTTTCCGTAAAAATTTGCCAACTTTTAAACGTTTGCTTTCTTATTTGCATTGGTTTAAAAAAACGAAATAAGTGTGATCACCTATACATAACATTCACTTTTAGTTCCTCTAAAAATTTGTGTTGACCGTTGATGTGGAAGAAAAAAAAACGCACAAACGGCTTCAAATCGCATACACGAGGGAGTGGCATATATGTATAGTAGCAATAATGTGGTCCTTACAAATCTTAGTAAACATTTTTATTTTACATTTTTTGCCTATAAAAAGCAAAGGTTTAACCAATCCTAATGTTTTGATTATCTTAGTCGATGATTTACGCCATCTTTCGGAAAAATATGTTGACCTACCGAACATTAAAAAACTGGCTGACAACGGCGTTAATTTTAAAAATACATTCGTGCAGGTATGCAACTAATTTTTTGTAGATGTTGTCCTCAACACAATTGCTATAATTGTTAGTTAAATAGATCTGTGTTATTAACCTCAATATACTTATGCTACTCCTATTACGTTCGTATAGGTAATGTGAACGTATGTGTGGTAACGACAATATAGATATCTAATCAACACACATTTCACCAATTGGAGCGTAAATACGACATGTTTATATTTTTTATACAAGCTAGCTAGTTTCCTTATAATTTTTTTGATGAATTTCTATAGGTAATACAGATCTTATACTCGTAGCATATGTTATGCTTCATTTCACTTATGTATTTAAATCTAAAATCTACAAGCAGATTTAAAGGAAAATGTTAATTTCAGCAAGCTCTTTGCGCACCCAGTAGAAACTCAATGCTTACAGGTCGTCGCCCCGACTCATTACGTTTATACGACTTTTATAACTACTGGCGTGACGCAGTCGCCAATTTCACCACTCTGCCCCAATTTTTCAAGGAAAATGGATACGATACATATTCAGTTGGCAAAATCTTCCATCCAGGAGTAAGTTCAAACTTCACAGACGATTACCCATACAGTTGGTCTGAATATCCTTATCATCCTCCCACAGAAAAATATAAGGACGCACCTGTATGTAAAGATAGAACAAGAAAGACACTTAAAAAAAATCTTATATGTCCTGTGAATATCTTGCATCAGCCGGGGGGAACGCTACCAGATATAGAATCTTTAGATGCAGCTATAAATATTATTTCAAAGAGAAATAGTAGCAAGCCCTTCTTACTTGCAGTTGGTTTTCATAAACCTCATATTCCGATAAAATTCCCTAAAGAATATCTGGGTAAGTATAATATACACTATTAATTTAAACCACGCAAACCAAATCAGAGTGAATTTTGTTAACAAACATTTTAGTAAAGTAAGTGGGTACCTACGTATGGTAGAGAGCGATGTTTACTACACAAAGTTGTACTTAGTGATCATAAATGTTTGTAGTAGTTAAATCTTACTACTTGATAATTATCTTGTTATAAGTTATGGCTTTTAGTCATAGTAATTTCAATATTAAAAGAAAGAATATAATTTTTCAGAGTGGATACCAATGTATAAAGTGAAGCCTCCGAAACATCCTTTTATGCCACAGAACATGCCAATAGTCTCCTGGCATCCATGGACCGATGTGCGACGTAGAGATGACATCCATAGACTAAATATATCATTTCCTTGGGGCACCATGCCTTATGATTGGTCATTGAAAATAAGGCAAGGTTATTATGCGGCTTCGGCATATGTAGATGACTTGATTGGACAACTGATAAGCTATGTTAATATGAGGAAAACAGTTGTAGTTGTAACCAGCGATCATGGTTAGTATTGTACTTTGGGTAATTGTCTTTTGACTCGAAATTTGTTGATTACTCCCGGTTTTAGAGGTATTATATGCATATTCGGTATGACGATGTCGCTTTCGTTATTTTTGAACAATTATTATCTTTAAGTAAGGGAAAACGAGTTTCTAAGACGTAACGTAAGGATATATATATATACAGATTTAAAATTTTGAGTCGCGGTCAGAGTACCAACGTTTTCCAATATTTCAATATATTTTGGTAACAAATAAATTATTTAAAACAAAATTCATTTAGATGGAGTCCGTTTTTGTACATAATATAAAACACGAAGTTATTGACACGGGTTCTGTCTAGCTCATGGTGTGAACATTGCAGCCATGTCGCATCTTGATAAACTCAGCAGTAGGCGCTGGAGAGTGCTAAACGAGGCTTGTTCCAATATGTTTCAATAATGAAACCCGTTTGTTAAACGAACTTATAAAAGACCGTTTAATATTATTGGTAACTTGGACTTATGTACAGAAGCCCGTTTTATGACAATGGCGACGTAATGTGCAATCGAAAGATAAAATTCACACGATTTTACAAAATTCTTATTCACCATCTTATAAAATGCTTTTTCTTTCATTACCATAATTATTTACATTTATTTTTATAAACATTACATTTATTTATACAATTTTACTCATTTCCAGGTTGGTCCTTAGGCGAAAACGGACTCTGGGCAAAATACAGCAACTTCGACGTGGCTTTAAAAGTTCCATTAATATTTTCAATACCTGGACAGTCACCGCGAAGCGTTGACACTCCTGTAGAACTTGTAGATATTTTTCCTACGTTAGTTGACTACAGCAATTTGCCGCATAAGATACCAAAATGCCGTAGCAATCAAGATAAATCTCTATTATGCTTTGAAGGAAAGAGTTTAAAATCCCTAATTACTAAATCACAAATGTTTGGTAATTATTTCGCCATTAGCCAGTATCCAAGGCCGAGTGTTTACCCTCAAAAAAATTCTGATAAGCCTCACATGAAAGATATTAAAATAATGGGGTACAGTATTAGAACTAAGAGGTACAGATACACAGAATGGGTTTCATTCAATAACACTTTATTTACTATAGACTGGAACAAACATTATGGCCTAGAACTATATGATCACTTAATAGACCCCGATGAAGCCAATAATCTATATTTAGTTAGTAAATATAAAAATATTAAACAATATTTGTCAACATTATTAAGATCACATGTTAACAGAAATTATAACTAAGTTTATTAAAATATATTATCATTGTACACAAATTAAATATTATTATTGCACTAAGTAATAAAGTCTTTCGATACATATACCATAGAGAACATGGGAGTTTTATAAAATATGTCTTGAAAAGCAGTAATGGTCTTTTGAATAAAAATTGAGGTAAAATACTTGTGCTTTAAATGAAATATTACGACAATTTTATAGTCTACCAGCAATTGGTCTCATTTAGGGATGGAATAAAATCACAATCACGTGTGATAAATCATATTATCACACCTCTGACTGATTTACAAAACCACTGCGACTTTATTATTATTATTACGCTAGAGCAATACTCGCGAAATGTCTTAATAAAAAAAAGTTGTAATCTTTCATAAAAATAATTTTGATAGATTTTAATGCCATGCATGCATGCATTTTGTCTATGACGAAATCACAATCATATGTGAAATTGCTGTGACTAAAACCAAGCATTCCATCAAATGAATATGATTTAAAAGTAGCAATAATTCCCATGTCTAGTCTTATTTGATATTTAAAAGTTTTAGAACTAGGATTAAAACACTGAAGGTGACAATGTAAAAAGGGCCTGTGTATTAAATATAAATCATTAAAATAGTTCAGCTCTGTCACTGATATAATAATAATATTACATATATGTACGCCAATTAAGTCTAGTTTATTATAGAACTGTCATTATTATAGTAATTACTCTCATACAACATGAGTAATTGATTTGAATTACACTTATTATGTACCTAATTTTCCCATCTTTTTATACCAGTGATGTGATTTCTTGTTAGATGTGCTTTAACAAGCGCAAATAGTTTACAAGTGCTTAAAGTCTAATAAAGGTGAAAAACAAGTCTTTAAACTAGGAACTGCAGGTAATATGTATTTTAGTCGCAACTATAAGCCACTTCATGCAAATTGCATATAGATAGATGCATCGTATGTTATGTAAAATATAAACACGTACAGTCTGTCTTTTTGCAAATATTTTAAGACCCACAGGCGCAGATAAGAACCCAAAGTTCTTTAAAACGAAGGTACAGTTTGCGACCATACACTGTTATTTACCTACTTTTTTTTAAATATAATCAAAATAAACACTACTTTATTGGCAAATAGTATTTTATTAATATTCTATAGATAAAACTTTACCCCAAAGCAAAATTTTATCCCCCACCCTGAACAATCAGGTGTCAAGCTTTCGTATGAAACGATAATTTCTTGGAAACTCATTGGAGGGGCGGGGCTTGATCTTTGCGTCTTGATATTTAATGCGAATGGCCTATAATTAGATAGTATTAGTAGATGTTTATGTAATTGTGTGTGTAATTTGAAATGAGTAACTGTTTGTTATTCTCGCATACAGCATACTCTATAATTTAAATCAGTAAGCGACATTTCATTTCAACGTTCGTCTGTCTGTCTGTTGTAAAATAAATAACTAAATTAAACCTACATACTAAAAAACTAGTAGCTCATACAAATATAGTAGCTTAGATGTTTAGGGAATGATAACAATCGCTTACATAATACTTTTTTAAATGCGTCATGATTATGTCACATATATTGAATAATTGAAAATTATGTAAAGTTAAACATTAGTCCATTCGCGTTAAGAAAATAGTGACGCATCCGTCATGACCCGCACCCTGACGCTGATGCGTCACTATTTTGCTAACGCAAATGGACTATAAAGACCATGGCTAATGGGTATAACGATTACAAAAACAGACAAAATAACAAACACTTATTATAATGATGTAACCTATTTTTAACCAGACTGTGGAACAGAGACATGATTGGATAACTTTCACACATAGTTAACTTATAAAAAATAATAACTGAATTCAGTGCTCCTACGTCATGATACCTTGAAATTAACTTTATAATTTCATCTTTTCGGTGGCATTTTTATTTAAATTTGATTGGAACTAAATGAGAAGTATACTCTGTCAAACAAAAAAAATTTTTTTTTAATTGTTTCATAAATAAATTCTGAGGTAATAAACATTAAAAAAACATACAGCCGAATGTGGAACTCCTCCAAGTTTTGAAGTTTGTTGTTGTAGTAGGTATCGTCAAACGGGATGAATAGTCAGGGGATGAGACTAAGACAAAATGGGCATGTGTTGTCGTCGTCATTTATACTTATAAATAATTCCTGGCCAACTAAGACAAAATACGATACGAAACGACTTAAATTGGAAAGTATGACCAGACACACACACACACAGCATATTTCACAGCCTTATTCCTTATACTTTTTAAAATGATCTGTCTCAAGTTACAGTTATGAATTAAGTTTTTTTGTAAATAATTACATTTACGGAGGCGAACTGTTGGCAGAAATTAATGTTCTAATCTAAAATGTTCTAATATAAAATGGATGAAAAATCATCAACCTTACATGCGACCGCGTCCAACTGAGCTAGGCAGACTTTGATTACGGCTATATTATCATAGAACGTATAAGTTCCCAAATTTTCTTCTTAAAGTCTACTTTATTTCAAAGTTATATGTGTCTACGATGTTTATGTGCCATGATTCATATTTACCCCGTTTGACCCGGCAATTAATAAACGAACACACCAAAACTAATCTCCTACGATTGAGACATACAAACATCAACTCCAATCACTGTTCAGTCTTTTAAACACACAGTCGGGCTTTAAGAGGGATCATACTAAGCTCTGCTTCTCTTCAGGTACCGGCCTTCGGGCCTTCTGTTCCATTTCTACTTGCTTGAACCGTGCGTAGAGGGCACTGCTACATAAGACTATAACGTTTGATGCCCACCAGACTGTATTCTTGGTTTCGTTATACCATTGAGTAGCGATAACGGTTTGGGCACACGCCTTCGCTGTTCCTGATATGTTGTGTGTTAGGGGTGATGTAACCTGAAATTAAAGAAAAGAAAACAATTATAAATTAAATTTAAGAGAAGACAAATAATATCGATGATCCTAAATCAAGAATACAAACTTCTTATAGTTATTCTTATACCATTAGGGTATTTATAAATGTTTTATGCATTTTTTTATGTACAACGATTTATACTATTTATAGAAATATTGTTAAAAATAGATTAAAAATATGTAATATATTGTTACAAACTGAGCTTCGAACAAACGTTCATTAATCTATCTAGAAAATTTAAAAGAACTGTTTTCAAGAAGAAAGGGGCCGTTGTCAATGTAAACAAGATCGCGCGACAATCTATTTCTGATCTTATGCAAATTGTTATAAAGCTCATTGTTCTATGTCACTCTACATTATTACCTATTAGAATTATTCGCGGCACGGTTAAATTAATTCTCTCTCTTTCTCGAATATTCGTGATATTTCGGGACAATATCGACGGTATTCTTTTGTTATTTTCAGTTACGTAATCATTTTGAATTATACAGAAGTGAATTCGCATTAGTAGTAGTCCCCTATTTCTGAGAGGGCCCCGAAGGGTGGCAACGCACTTGCGTCTGTTGAGTTGTAGGTGTCTATAGGTGACGGTATTCACTTACTATCCAGTCACCCAACTGCTCATTTAACCCCTTTAAAAAAAAAAACAGTGGCAATCCGGGAGAACAGAAGTGACAACTTATATACAGGAGTGTCGGTAACGTCCGGTAAGTGTCGCGAGTTCAATTGTTATTTCCCATCTCAAAAAATGCCCAACGAGCCTAAATTTTTTTTCACTTCAACAGAGGTGTCGGTAACGGTAACAGTGTCGCGAGTTCAATGTTTTTTCTCAAAAAACATTGTTAAACCATAAAATAAGTAATAAGGCCGGCAACGCGTTTGTGACTCTTAAGTAGCAGACGTTCTTGGGCGGCGATGGTCACTTTCCATCAGGTGACCCGACCCGTCTGCTCGTCTGCCCCCTCTAACATAAAAAAATAAAAACCATTCTTTTGTTCAAAAATCATATCACATAACTTACCTTAATTTGCAAGGACGTGAAATATCCAATAGCGAACCCACAAAAACCTCCCACCAACATTTGCAGCCAAAAATACGCGTTTGTAAAATTGGTGTACTGCAGTAAAGTCGGAATCTCGCCGTTAATTACTATTAGCGGCAGAAACAGGAAAATAGAATATGCATTGTTGTAATATGAAAGCAACCAAACTTCCTGGTTGACGCTGGGCAATATTTTTTTGGTATAAATTGAGTAAAGCGATAACATTAATGAGCCTATGACGCCATAAATTGTTCCCAGCAAAGAAAATGACCCTGAAACAATTTAATGTATTATGAGGGTATGTAAGTATTTTCTACATGTACATATGCCTTTTAAATGTATATTCGTCCTTGGTGTACTAAGAAAATGAACATTTAAATCATTAGGTTCGGTTAAGGAAAAAAAACATTAACATTGCCCGTCTGAATGTATGCTCTAGTTTTTATACCAGCAATACTCGGTACTCTGTATTTAAAACTAAAAACAACTTGATAATGAAGTTTGAATGTAATGCTAGTTTATTAATAAAGTATTTATCATATTTTCAAGCATGATTATAGATTTAAGGCCAGCTTAAAACCAATCCGTTTAAAACAAAAAAAAAGAACTCTTATAACCGAAGTAAACCAATTTTTTTTCGATTTAAAACGGTTGCTGATGACTATGTTTACCCCAACCGACAACATTGTCCACTTTACCACCCGGCACTCGACCAGCACAGCCTCGCCTCGAGCGGTTAGTATTCTTTGTATGGAGTACTATGGGTGAACGCTCACTACGTCAACTCCGGAACGCCTCACCCGCAGGTTGACCACGCGCGGACGGCGAGTGGACCACGCGCGAGGACGGGGCATCGGCGCCACACCGCTGCCCCTCGAACGTGTCTGTCGTATCGTTTTCTTGTTACGTATAACAACGCGTCGTGCACCCGTGGACCACCAGTCGACGAGTGGACACCGAGACGAGGTCTTGTTGGTTGGGTGTCGGGTGAGTGTAATGAGGTATGTTCTTATTTCAGTAACTAATTACTTTTCTATAATATACAAAATTTTCGTACCCAATAAATTTTCCTGATCTACTCCAAGGTAAAATCCAAATATGATAAACGCACAACACATCATGCATGAGTTAGAAGTCTTCTGACCCAGTAGTATATAACTGAATATAACATTAAAAACTGTAGTCAATGACCTTCCAATATAATAAAAGGGTACTCCAACATACTTCAAACACATATTATTTGTTGCTATCATAAAGGTGAACATTATTGATAAAGGGATGACCTGAAAAATACAAGAGCAGTGTTAATGGTGCTGGTAAGCGGTGACTACGACTACATCCTGGGACAGTGAACGGCAATAGGTATTATAATGTGCCCTTCATAAATTCATGAATGCGGTTCTCGAAAACAAATGTTTTATTTGTATTCGGGAAAGGAATTCCTGTTTATCGATACATGGATGGAATCTCTTTAAATTATTTTGCTCATAATATAGCTTGGAAAACGGTCACAAGTTATGGATAGGCGGTCACAAATAGGCGAATATGATGAACCTATTATTCTTAAGAGTCTTAGTAAAGACCTCTTTTATTTAGTAAATGTAGATGAGTTTTAGTCATTGAAAATATTTGTAGGCTTGGTTTACTTTTTAATGACATGAATTAAATACTGTTAAAAATGTGTATTTGTTGATAAAATATACATATATTTATCAGTTCTTAACTTTTTAACAATAGATACAATACACACACAGATAACGTAACTGATTGGTTACCTACTGGCATATTAGTATCATGGAATGATTTTATCACATTTACATGTTACAGTCATTAGCTTCAGGGCATGCACATTAGTACCAGACATACTCAGGCGAGTGCATGATAATAAATGTGTATTTACATACACTCACTTCTTGCTCTATTCAGGCACATTATTCTTTATAGTATAATATACTATAGGCATAATACAACAGATACATTAATTTTCTACTGCCAATATATTTAAAAAAAAAAATTACCTAAACTGGAACGAAGTTTATTATAAAGGAGGTTGCTTAGTCATGTAGGTCCCATGTGAATGTATCGTCCACCACTAGCCCTAGGTATTTATAAGAGGTGATTCCTCCAAAGTCAAGCATCTACAGTGTTGCATATAGTTATGCATACATTCGTATGTATGGCCCAATACCGTTATTGAAATTCTTTATGTTATAAAACAGATTCACATTTTCAGCAAGATACGCGAATGAAGAGTGTAGTTGGTGTCCTCGTCTATACAAGTCTAAAGCGTTCTGTTGTATGTCGGCTATTAGGTGGAAAGTTTAAATAAATAAAATAAAGACGGCTAGAATGTTACAATCTAATTGTGATAGAATTTCCACAAAGCGCAATTGCAAGTGTGGTGTGGTGTTGGAAATAAATCGTACCTCGTTCAGAGTTAGTATTCAGTCAGTGTATGCAGTGAGTGTCTCTGCATCTCAGACAACAGAAATGACTGAGAATCGCAGTTTCATAAAATTCTAATAGGCAAAGTAGAGAGCAACTTAACAGCGAATTTTGTTATCCATCAATATCAATAGATAATTTTTATAAAATATTTTAACTAAATATAAAAAAAACGGAAATCAATAAATTTGATTAGATAATAAAAGATGTAAAGCATTGATAGCCTGTTTATTGTGAAAATTGTAGATTAATTAATATCATTATATAAGCCGGCAACAACAGCAAAGTAATAGTTGAAATATAACTATAAATGAACATTTTGAATGTGGAAGATGATGTGGTATGATCAAAAAGAATTGGTGTTAGTCAGTTTTAAACATCCTAAATTTCTAGCTACAAACACTGAAACATGACTTTATCTCCAGAGGCATATTAAACGCCTTAATAATGGGTTCCCTCTACCTGACAGAATCTTGATGCTCCAAAATTTGTTCGTCATAGCCATAATTTATCTTTGGTTAAGTTAAAATTCCCCATAATTTCGTTTCATCAACAGTCTTTAGTAGTCCACTGCTGGACATAGACCTCTCCTTAGAAAGGAGATTTTAGTCTACTATAACACGCTGGCTAGTATAACATAACCATTCGTTTAGCATTTATTTAGAGTGAAGATTATTTAGTATTATATATGGCAGAATTTTATTTAGAATAAACTTATTAGGTGTATTGCCATTTGTATCATCAACAGCCTTTAATAGTCCACTGCTGGACATAGACCTCTCCTTAAAAATTAGGTTTTGGCCTACTATAACACACTGGCCAGACGCGTTGGTATACGGTTTGCTACAAGTTTTCCTCCTCTTTGCAGTGCTGTTGTCCTGCGTAGTTGGCTCCCATAGTCGTCTCTTACAACACCCACGGGATGAATAGGGGTGGTGACACTTTGTATTCTTAATCCGTCACTACACGGACAGTATTGATACAGCCATTTGTATAAAATAGCATTTTTAACTGTATGTTGTGCTACAAAAGTAAATGAGTATTTATATCTACAACTTCCAGATGTGGGCGAATCTGTCTGACAGCATCGCAAAAGAAATAATATACAGAGTAGTTTGACAGTATACTAAAAATTCGTCTTGCTAAAAGCCAACCACATGTGTGTATTAGCAAAACCAGCATGTGTGTATTAAAAGTCTGATAAATGTAGAAAAGGCATGAGTCTCTGCCTACCCGGAGTGGGAAAAGGCATAATTTTATTTATGTATGTAATTTCCACAAAATTATAATACACAGCATAGCTTAAAAACTATATGTACATTTAAGTCCATATAAAAAAAATATTAGCTACCTTTCTGATAACTGCAATATCCCATGGTGTTCCTTTGGGAAAAACAAACACTTTTGGTATACCACCAGTCTTGCTCAAGAAATAGCATATGCTGAATGACACAATACATTGAAACCAAGTTATAAAAAGAGGTGCTTCTAATGCCACATCTTCACTACTTAGTAGTGTTTTGTTAATAAAAACTGTTGTTATTGATACAACCCTGAAAAATTTAACAAAATGTATAATTATATTTCATGTATAAAATGTTATAAGTAAATAAATTAACACCCCTGGCTGGGTTGACATTATTTTATTTTTCATAAGGCCTAGTGTCAACAGGTATAAACAGTTTTACAGATATTGAACCTAATACTTTAAAATAATAAAGAACTGATATACCACACTGGAATCATAATTCTTCAAATTCAATTTTCTGAAATTACATTTTAATTTTTATTTGACCTTTGAAGAAACAAGTTCAGATCAATATTTATACAAGTATTAATGAAGAAAACATGATTTTTTTTTAAGAAATAAGTTAGAGATAAAAAAAATACGATTATTATATCTTTTCCTGAAATAATCCACAATAGTTTTCTCCAAAAATAGGTAACTATGTGTTTTCCACTACAAAACTCATTTTTTTTAGAAGAGTACGTTATAGATACTAGCAGCTATAAACAGTTTTAGCCGTTTACTTATAAAATTTACAAGTTTAATGAGACCGGCGATACCAGAAACGTATAGTGCTTTCGTATCACAAGTAATGTGTGTAAGAATTGGAACTTGTATGTATCGATTGTAATAATAAATTTAATACCAAAGGAAGATGTCGTTCACTTTTATAATACATACCAATAACAAGACACAACAATAAATATTTTTATATATCTAGAACACAGATCTGAATTTTGCTCCTTCATTTCCTCGGGCTCGGCGGAGGCCAACATATAATGATATTCACAGAAAAAAAAGAACTACACCGAATTAAATTACTGTCTTATATAATATAGACTAATTAATTTAAAATATTTAGATGAAATCAAAAGTCCGTCGCAAGCAACGTACTCCTTTGGTTTATTTAATATCAACAAATTGTCAGTCAGCCGTCTTGTCATGTCACTGATTACTTTTTTTTTTATTTATTTTTTTCATGACCATAGATACAAGTCTTTCAGTCGAAAACATAGATACTGATTACTTGTCTTGTCAGAGTTGTCAGTCGTTATGTATTGCCAACTCTCTAAATTCTTTGTCTGTTTTAGGAGTTACAAGCATATATAGTAAATATATATATATAGAATATAGCGAAGCGAATGAGGCGCTACCGCATACGCTTGGTAGAGAGAGAAAGAAGATTGTTTTGGTCTTGTATCCCTCTCTGCTCTTGTAAGTGATTGTCTATTTTAAATTCCCTCAATACAAAGCGCAGAGCCTCAGCCAATCAGAGCAAAGAGAGACGAAAGATCAAAACAATCTTCTTTCTCTGTCTACAGGGCGTACGCTACCACTTACAGAAGAATATAGCTCGCTTCCTCTATTTACATGATCTCTATGGTTCCAAGAGATAATCCTAATACCTCGCATAGGATTAAGACGAGAAAGTGAGAAAGACGTAATGTATTAAAATCGTGACAAGAGCATACTGACATGACAGACAACCAGTGGCTATTTGAAGTATGGATAACAGAAGGATTATATTTTAACTCGCTATTGACTTCAGTTTTAAAATAAATATTCAAATATTTGTTAAGAATATTGTCATTTTTCGCTATTTCTCTGGAGCAATTGTTAATGTTTTGTAGGCCTACCTACATTCATCTTGCACTTCGTTTTGCCTCGAAACCAATCTCTATCGAATTTTATGTTCAGTTATAAGATGAGATCCTTGAAACTTTATTGTCATGCTATGTTTATACTTCATTTATCGATTAAATTCGATTGTTTTCAGTGGCGGATTTACCAGCAGTCTGAGTAGGCTGTAGCTTGGGGCGGCAAATTTTCGGGTGAATTCTCTATTTCGCGGAAGGCCACTACAGCGGAAGTAGGGGAAAACCCGTCACCGTCCACCCGTGACCACACTCAGGATTCCATGAGGTGTTGGTAAGCGCGCCTCCACGGCTCGGCGGCAAATACGACTATGTAAATCCGCCTCTGATTGTTTTATTTCACTGCTTCAACTAGTTATCATTTATGCCAATAAACGTCTTATAGGCCGACCGTTTATCTGAGTCCTCGCCTGCGCGGTAACAGGGGCGCGGGGGTATGACGACAAAGGGGACAGACAGGTGCGGGCGGCGGGGGCGCTTGTGCGGGGGTGCGGGTGGTCAATTTTATAAATATCTTCAGTTTCTGTCTTTTTAATCAATTTTGATAAGTCGTCCTTTTTCAGCTTATCATCGAAAACCACGTCGTGTCGTCGTAACCATGTTTGCATAACTGCCTTGGTAGAAGCCATAGTCGGCTTTTTTTCTTCTCGAACCGAATGGTAAGCTGCGTTATCCATCACGATGACGGAATTTGGTGGTATATTGGGCATTAGCTTTTCATTTATCCATTTACTGAAATTCACGAAATTCATAGAATCGTGATAATCACCTGTTTTACATTTGGATTTAAATACAAGTTCTCCGTCTACAAATCCAGTTTGACCTCCACAATGTACGATGATCAGACGGTTTCCTTTTCTAATATGAGATAGTACGCCATGTACATCCTTGGATTGAAAGCATTTTGAAAAGCTGTGAGACTCATTTACATATGTTTCGTCAAGATATAAAATATGTCTTCCTTCTCTACAATATTTTTTGATAGTCCTTAGGTATTTCCACCTCCACAATGTTATATTTGGCTGTTCAATAAGGAGTTTCCTTTTAGAACCGCATTTCTTAAATTTAAAACATAGGTCATGTAACAACAGCCTTAAATATTCCCTTCCGCAGTGTAATATATTCTCTTTTCTAAGTACAGCATTCAAAGTTTTCAGAGTAGGTATTTTTTTATCAATTGTATAAAACTGAGTGACTTTTCTTGTTATCACTCGTTTTGTGAAATCGTCTATTTCTACTCCTTTTTTGCGAACCTGTTTTGATGTTTTCGGTGATTTGAATCTTTCGTTGTCTTTCAATAATTTCCCTTGATGTACGATTCTAGATACAGTCTTTTCCGATAGTTCAGTAACTTCTGCTACGGTTTTGTTTAAATGTATGTCTTGTTGATATTCAACAGAATTTGGGTCCAGTTTGTCCACGTTGCGATCGAAATTAGCGATTACAAAAATTCGCCCGCCGCCCGCACCTGTCTCAGTCCCCTTTGTCGTCATACCCCCGCGCCCCTGTTACCGCCCAGGCGAGGACTCAGATAAACGGTCGGCCTATAGTAATCATCATTTATAAGGAGTTATTCCTTTAAATCAGTGATACGATGAGTTTTTATGTGGTTTTTATTATGTAAAGAATTGTGACTAGCTTTATCCGTTAAACTTTTTTTTTAGGTACCACTCCCGTTTCTAAATTATCTTACTTATATCGTGGAGGTGGTCAATTTGTTTTTTTTAACTGACAATAATTGGGTACAAAGCTTATTTCATTACAATCTACAATAATTTATTTCCTTAAACTTAAATTCTTTCAGATTACTTTATAGGTAATTTCATCATCCAATTTATTTTATTCGTCTTCTTATATAGTCATTCTAAAAATGTCTTCCTGCTACATCAGAGATGTCTTTTTTGGTTGTAATTAAAAAAAAGTGTTTTTTGTTTAGTCTGGTGTGTTTGTGGTCAGGTTATTTAAGATGTGATTTTAAATTATTTATGTTTAAGGATTTTTAGAAGGATTTGAATTAGTTTCATTTGGATGAATTTCTGTTTCAGTTTCTCCGAACGGCTCGATCCCTTGGCTTTACCTAGAGAGTGCTCTGAAGAATTGTTCGGACTATTACGGGCCACAATTTTCTGCCATCGTTCCACACGGCAATATTTTCATCCCCATAACCTGGATAATTGGCGCTCCATCACTGTGCGTTTTTCAAAAACTTTTATCTGTGGAACAAGTTATCGTCTGCGGTATTTCTACTGCGGTACTACTCGTTCCTAAAAGTCCGGCAACGCGTTTGTGAAACACTTTCCATCAGGTGATCCGGCTGCTCGTCTGCCCCCTCTTACATAAAAAAATATCTAACACTTATTCTTTCTATAAGTGCTTTCTCTAAGATTTTGTTATGTACTCTGTGGTTTTTTTATGATTATTTTTTTGATGTGCCAAGACCAAAGTTGTATTATTGCTGTTGTCGGTTCGCTGACGTCAGTGATTTTAGTGTTTTACACGAATGAAATAGTTTTCTAAAATTTATACAATAAAGCTGTATTTTAGTGGCTATTAGTAAACATTGTGTACAAATAAAAATGGCATCGGTACCGAAGACTAAATTATCAGACACCGATAGTTCCGACGCCGGTTCAAGTTTCATAGATTACTTTAGTGAGGTTTTCAGTCCCGTAAATTTGATTATTTCGGCCATAATCTGTGTATTTCTCTATAAGATATATTCAAAATTCACAAAGGTGCCTGTGGACACACCGGCGTTGGAGTTACCCAAAATTCGTAAAGATATGACTGTGTCGGAACTTCGTCAGTATGATGGAAATCAGCCTGATGGGAGGGTTTTAGTGGCTGTGAACGGTTGGATATTCGACGTGACGCGAGGTCGGCGATTTTACGGTCCCGGTGAGTGTATCGGCGCCGTGTTTATAAATAGCGTTGACATTACGTGACTCATTAATTATTCATGCAACATGCAGCTTGCACCTTGAGCAACCTTAATTTTAATAACATTGAATTGGATAATATCTACCATCTAGTTGTCTCCTTATTTTTGTAATAAAATTTATGTATGTATATATATATACTTTTGAAAAAAATCTAATGTATCTGTTTTTTTAATAACATCTACAATTGCCGTGTGTGACACGGCTGTATGATCCCAAACTAGGCAGAGCCTGGACAATGGTAACCAGACTGCTGAAATCATATAATACTCATTAAATTGTATATCTGAATAGATACATATTATAGCTAAATTACACCTAGACATAATAAATCATGTTCAACACACAACATTTGTCCTAGGTGGGCAACAGGGTGGGACTAGGTGGGACCTTCAGCTTAGCAGTCAGGGTCACTACGCACTAGACTCTAGACCAATGGGTCTGCGAAATATTGAAGTATAAATGTAAAAATCTGGTTTGAATTATAGGTGGACCATATGCAGCGTTTGGGGGAAAAGATGCATCAAGAGGCCTAGCTACATTCTCAGTTACTTCATCAGACAAAGAGTATGATGATCTCAGTGACCTTAACTCAATAGAAATGGATTCAGTCAAGGAGTGGGAGGCACAATTCAGAGGTAAATGATTCACTTAACCATATTCATTAGAACACCTCTCATTCTTAGTGATTCTAATTTATATCTAACCTTGTGTGTTATAAAACTTTTGTCAAACAGTAGGTCAAAAGTCAGTTGATCATATCTGTGATAAAAATAACAAAAAACTTCTGCACAGCTTTTTCGCAGTTAAAATTATTCACGAGGATATTTAGATGTATAATTCATTAAGATTTCATATAAATTATGGAAATATGATAACAATTGTTGAAGAAAATCAGAGTTGAGTCATGGCTTAATTATGTGTGCTGCATAGAAAACATTGTATTACACAATATTTTCTCTTAAAAATATCTATTAAATTATAATAATATTCTGTGCATATAATTAAATTATATACTACTACTTATGTAAAACCAGGGCTAGTATAATGATAAGAGCTAATTCTAATCGTGATGAAAAATTACACAAAAAATATATAAAAACAATCTTTGAAGTGGTTTGCATGTTGCGTCCAAATTTGACCTCAATTAGTTCAGAAAATTTTAAATTTTTTAAAAATTAAACCAACTTAACATTTTGATAAATATAGATTATGAAAATTACAGACATTCATCATTCATCACTGTCTAGTTGTAGCAATCATTCAAAATATTTATTTACTAGGCTTACCAACAACTACTGTAATACAAAAAGAAATAAAAAATATGATTTTTACTAATGAATGTCTATGTTGAATTCAAATGAATGAACTAACTGGTGCGGCCCCAAAAATTCATACAAAACCAATAATCTCGGGTGCCAGGTGCCCTCATAAATGAACATAGACAACTAATAACAAATACAACAAACACCTGGAACAGCTCGGTCAGCGCTTAGACTTTTAATCTAGGGCGGCGGGGCTAGCTATAAAAGAAAGAGATGATATAAGATTAAGAGGCAGTTTATTTATCCTGTAGTGTCTATAGAGTACATGGAATATTATAGCTCTAATTACAAATGTAATTCTTATTCTCAAATTAGTTCTGTCATTAATGCAATCCGTTTACGTTGATAATACAAATTAAAGGTAAAATATCTTTAAGTCACATAAAGACTGTTTAATACATAAAGAAATTAAAGGTAGTTATCATAACGACCTACTCTCAAAATAATAATAATAACAATGCCCCTTATAGCCCACAGTATCCGTTATGACAACGCTAGTAAAATTCATATCAACAAAAGACATACCAATATCGCCGGCATAGTCCGTTTGGTACTATGGTAAAACGAATTCCTAAATTCTCATTCCTGTTCTCCACGTGGTTGAGGTCGTGGCGGGTTAAGTAATCCAACCTTCCTCGTTCCTGTCCCAAGTGAATCCAAATAATGGGCTACAGTCAGAGGACTTTTCCTGCCATTAAAGGTACTTAGGAAAGGAAATCCACTCTCCGAAGCAACTAAATCCCTGGATCAGGCAGGTTGTGAGGTAAAAAAAACTAATTGTAACGTTAGGGAATTGCAATCTAATAAGAAGAAAAACCATAAAAGAAAAACCCTGTTACGGCACAGGGTTCCAAAACGTCTCACAAATAAATCGGAGGCATTACTAATAATTACAAAAAGGCAAAATAATATTCCCATTGGAAAAAACTTATTTTCTTAACAAAACTGGCCAACAATAAAAGGTGATTAACCCTCTGATTATAATAAAAGGGAACGGATTACATTTCCATCTTTCAAAAATCACAAACATGTCTACCCCGGTCAGCTTCGCCCAGGAAGATGCAAATGCGACAAAAAAGTGTGGCCAGAGCAACAAGTGCAAAAAACTACAATCGAATCAATACAATAAAAAATCTCGACTGTGACGCCATCTCTCGGAGCTTTACTGAAACGTCAGAAAATTCGTCTGTCAAAATAACAACACGTCGATAATTAACTTTTCTGTAATGGTGCGAAATGCACCGTTACACTACTTATACTAATAAAATTTTCTTTACATTACAAAGCTACATGATAGTATAGTGTAGCCTTTTACAGGCAAGCACAGCACGCACAAATGATTTACAGCAAATGATTTACAGCTAATAAAGTGAAGTTATACAGTTACAAAAACAAGCAAACAGTGATTAATGCATTAGCCATAGGTCACTTTAAAACAATAATAATAATTTGCACATTAGAGTTCCTATAAAAATTGATAATACTGTACATTACACTTTAATAAAAACTGTCATAACACACGTCTTTTGAGTACAACTGTGTAGCTTAGATCTCTAGACTACACTGGCAAACTACTTCACATATTAGCATACTACTTACTGTCAACTGGTTAATAAATAGTAAACTAATATGCTGAAAAGCCTGTTGGTCTAGTATTTAGTTACCTTGACTGCTAATCAGGAGGTAGTTGGTTTAATTCCCACTCAGGACCAATTGTGTGTCAAGCAGAATCATTTGTTATGTGTCTAGAATGTATGTATTTAGAAATGTATATGTAAGTTTTGTCAGCAGTCTGGTTACCATACACATTCTCTGCCTAGTTTGCCATGTATGAGATGTGGGAAATTATTATTTTAACCATCTCTGGCTATTGCTATGTAATATCTCAGGAACAAAACTAATAGTATATTCTGTCAAGATGCAAGAGAGCAGCTTTTAGTCAAAGTAAGCTACTTAATTTATGTCTAATAAAATATTTAGTAAGTTACTGATTTTATCTGTGGGGTGACAGATTAAGAATACACAGTGTCACCACCCCTATTCATCCCGTGGCTATTGTAAGAGCCCACTAAGGGAGAAAACTATGCAGGATAACAGCACTTATCAAAATACCTTATATTACATGTTATTAAAATACCCGTTTGAACATAGTTAACAATGTTGGCGATATTAATACTATACTATATACAACAGCACCACAAAGAGAAGGAAAATTGACACAAACCATATACCAACCCGTCTGGCCAGCGTGCTATAGTAGGCCAAAACCTCCTTTCTAAGGAGAGGCCTATGTCCAGCAGTTGACTACTTAATCAACTGTACTAGGTTCAATTTGATTAAATTTTAATATAATTACTGCTGATGTAGTACTTTTTAAACAAAATAAAAACTGAAACTTAATTGCCCGTCGGTATGTAGGTACATAAAATATGCATGAATTACTTTATTTATTGCTGTACACAATGGTTCATTTAAATTACAAATGACATTGTTTATAAAGAATAATACAGCTTATAATTATAATAAATACAATCTAAATTAAATTACATGCACCCCAGTAGTTTCTAAGCATTAAACATGCAACACCTAGTAGTTTAACTATATTACCTAATATCATATTGTATACATCAATACCTTTGTGAGACCAACCCCTTATTCCTCATAATATTTAGACACATTTTATTTTTTATTTTCATGTCTTCTCCTAAGTGCAAGAGTGTCTGAAAGTATCATTCATAGGAAACTAATTCTAGTAAATATTTATGTTTTTTGAAGCTATTGTTTAAATCATTAAGATCTGAGGAAAAGAAAGAGAAATATTATTAGCTTATTTGATCGTTTTAATTTCCTTTATCAGTGTAGTGTTACCATTTTACAGCCATTCTTTCAATAGTAATAGTAGAGTAGTAGAAAAACTGTCTAATAAAGTGTCATAAAATGGTAATCACTTTGTAAGAACTGAATCAATAAAGAATTGTAGTTGTTGGTACATTTTTACCTAGCAGACAGGATAACCAACCACTAGAGTACTAGACTAACAGGCTTAGCCAATCACATGGATAGAATTTTAATCATAGATACCTTTTTCATCATTTTATCCACGATTTCACACCCCCAATATCTTTAACATCACGATATCTTCAGGAAATGGCAGTTACAAGTGATATGTTTATTTTTTCTTCCGTCGAATATCATTTATAAATAGTTAATATTTATTTTAGTGGGTAAATATTACGGTGGCGCGCCACGGTCGTCGCGTTGGTGATTGTAAACAGATTAGCTAACGAATTTGTTAACATTTCAATTTACTAAAAATATATGTATTATATACAAACAGCAAGTGCTACGATAGAATTAGAGAACCTACAAACTTCGTGTGCCAGCACTGTCTATCAAGAAGTATAATGACAATAAAAAAAAAAAGTTTAAAACAACTAAGCCTGTTGTCAGTAGTAAATAGCACCCCACGCTTTTCTTTTCAAATTTATTAAAATTTATTTTCTATTTTTTAGTTTGGATTTCTATAAAAGCGTGTTTTTTAGTTTTTTTTAAACTATTTTTTTCATTTATTTTTTTAAATTAGTGTATTGTCATCGGTCCTCGATATATCTAAAAAGTTTGAACGAATTCTGACCGTTTAAAGTCAGTCAAAATCACGCCCAAAGGAGTCGGTTACAAACATACAAGTGAAGCTAATATAAAGCGTGTAAAAAGGGGCGGCTTTCGTTCAAGCGTAGCCATTGGTTTAACCAAATTTAAATTAATTATCTAAAACAGAAAAATGTTCATCAATAAAAAAATTAAAAGTATTAAAAAACTAGGATGAAACGGACGATCTTCCGTAAGTGCATCTAATTATATGCAACATTATTACTTACGAGATGCTAAGCCTATTTTACAATAAATTAAAAATATAAAACAGGAAGTCGCTAGCTGTATATTTTTTTTTCTCAATTTTTTCTTAATGATTAGGCTAAATTATAGCAATCTTCAAAATGGTTAGGTTTGGGATATGATATTTCTAAGTGAACTGTATCAGAAATGATATGAACTAAAACTTCTTAAAGTATCTAGGTCGACTGAACTAATAACCCTGTATAGCTTTTTAAGTCTAATCTGTAACACGCTCGGGTGAGCACCCCTCGGCTGTCTTCAAAAGCATTGACTTGGAAATTAGTCGTACACTACACACTACTTGTTTAAATCGAAAAATATAAAGAATGTGACAATTTTTTGTCTTTTAACATAACCTTAAATTTATTCAGGTGATGAAATAGTTAACTGACATCAGAGTTCAAAACTTGAAGTAAATA